TCCACAAATGAAAAAAACAACGCTCGCAACCCACAGGGGTTTCTGAAAGGGGTCTGTCCTTGTTTTAAGGTTGGACCCCCGCCAAACAAAAAAAGACCTGGCGCAACGGTGTTCCTTCAACACGGACCCTAAAGAGTGGCCATTCAAAAACAAGGACACCGACATTTGGGTGCGGCTCAAAATTAAACAGAGGGGTTACGCAGGTTTTGGTCCATGTTTCCACTGACCAGGGCAACCCATTTTGGAATTCCGGTTTTTTGAGCCACAGCCATTTGCGCCAGGTCAGGCCACCTAACCTCCGACCGGATGCCTCGTAGTGGTGCAGGGACTCCGCGGTCATTGCCACCTCGAAGGAGACGTCCACAAAGGGCGGCACCAAAGCAGGCCCCACTAGCCGCATCTCCGCCTGCGGGGCGAGCCCCCGATGAACTTTGGCTTTCGGTTTGTGTTTTTGTTTGAACCAAAAAGGTGCGGGGGGGGGGGGGGGGTTGTAAAGTTGTAACCTCGACTTATCAAAGAACATCTTTTACCTCAAGCCAGAAGCCCCTACTTGGCCTTCCAGTAAGTTGTTGGTAGCTTAGGTTATGACCCACTTATAAGTCCCCCGTTCAGTGGGGTTAACTGGCTAACCACTTACTAACTTGGCTGAACATCCAGGTGGGGTTCCCCGAAAAGAAAAGCAGCCAACGAAACAAATTTAGAATTCCCCAGTTGATTTGCAACATGCGCTTGAGGGTAGCACATACCCAGCCGACGTGGAACATGTCTTCTTCGTTTGGGGGTAGTCTGTTCACGTTGGTTCGTGGGACAAAACAAAAGCATACACGCAGAGCATGTCTTCGCCCCACCCGGCGAAGGATCCGATGAGAAACGGAGGTCACAGGGATGTGTTTTTCAGGTTCCTCTTGGGTGCGATTCGCAAAATACGATTGCTTACAGCAAAACCCCCAATGTTGAACGTGGGAAAAAAGGAAAAAGGCAATGGGACCCGGGTGCCAGTACAATCTCCTTTTGGATACCGGGCTTAAAGAAGATTTGCCCAAGCCCAATTACACTCAGGTGAAAGGACATGGCAAAATCCGGAGGTTGTGCCGCGTTACTTTCACCCCGGAGGAAGATACTCCCGTGTCTCTGCCCAAATCAAAGTATCAGTCTCAGAAGCTGGCCAGCCAAATCCGACTTGTCATTCTCTGCCCAGCAAGTGGGGCGGTTGTCAATGTCCTCACCACAATCTCGTCCAGGTCGATCCAACTGTCGATTTCAAAAAACAAAAAACATCACTTGGAACGTGGTTTCTCCCATGGTTCAATCCATGCCAAATGACTTTTCCTTCGTCCGCCCGCAGGTTTGCCCTCCGAGACAAGTTCTGTGCCCAGAGACCGATGGTCAAAACTCGAGCCAACTCGGAGTGCCACGGTGCTCTGAATATGATGTGCCATCCATATGCCTACTTCCTGAGTGGAGTGGCCAAAAGAAGTCGGAACTTTTAATTTGCCACTATGCTCGGTATAAAGTCCAGGAACTCACTGGGCGACAAGTAGCCGCCACGGCAACATGGGTGTTGTCCGAAAACCTGCCCACTAGTGCCTCACCGACAAAAAACAAACAAACGAACAAACAAAACACTCGTCGGGATCACTCCACAGAATTCGTTGACCAGAGCAGAGCCAAGTCACAGGAGACGTTTCGTCACGAACCAAACTCTCAAGAGCTATCTCCGCCAGGCTTCCAAATCATCGACTTCACCAACCGCAAGCAAGGGATCCCTATTGTGTGTTTTCCTGAAGAAAATAGAAAAACAAAAAACTTCATCGTGGGGTGGTCGCGACCCCCCTGCCAGTGACGTCATGTCAAGTTGCTTCGTTTCCAAGAAGATAACATGGCTTGCCCACAAGGTTGGCCCATGGCCCAAAAAGAGATTCCGATCCTGAACTTGGTTTTCTTGGGTCGCATGAGTACACCTGGACGGATTCTCAAACTACCCAAATAAAAAAGGAAATCACCTCGTCGATTTGGGGTTGCAATAACCCAGCCTTATGGGTACCTGGACCCTCAAATTACCCATAAAGAAGGGAGTTCGCCCCATAAAGTTTCGGGTAACCCATGTTGATAACACCCTATGGTTGTTTACTTTGGGTTCCAGTATGTTCCAGTATATAACCATTGATTTGTGGGGGGCTGGGCCGGTTCTCAGGCCTGTCTCAAGAAGTACACTGGCAGCATGTTGGACCACATGATGCCGTCCAGCGTCACGGAGAGATACGCCCTGCAGCTGTTTCGAGCGAACTGAGACATTTGATTCCTTCCACGAAGCACCTTTCGGATTGATGTAGGATGAAACATGTAGGATGGAATTGGAATTGGAAAAATGGATGAGAATTGTTCCTTTCCTACGTCTACATGCTATCTCTATTTGTTGGCAACTTATGATTAATTTAGGATAGGATTGGAAGTACATCGATGGCGAATGATGTCCACCACTTGTGAGGGAGCACCCCACTCCTACGACTTCCGCAACACCGTGTTACCCACATGGGTCTTTTCATGTTACCTCCGGCCACCGCATCCGAAACATATCGCTCCACAAAATCCGGAGCTCGACTCATTGGGGCTCCAGGTGATGAGGGGCATGTGCTGAGGGCTTTATAATCGAAGGCTGATGCAGCAACTCTGAACCTATGTGTCTAGGGGTACCTTCCTTAAAGAGCGACGGTTGAAAAGCATGGGGAATCAACCTCTAGAATGTGCATGAAAACATGTACTGGGATCACTGAAGGTCCAGTTCTTGCTCATTGCAGATTCAATGAACAAACAACAATAGCTCATATGGCCATGGGTCAAAATCCCGTACCCCCAGTGAACATCCCAATCCAACCACTAAAATAGGCTCAAAAATGGGTGGTGAATTCACCGAAAACCCCCAAAATGGGATCCCAGAACGGTTTTGACAACCACAGCCATATGGTGAGGCAACACTTTTGGTGGCTTTAAACCGAAACAAAGGAACCCAACCGTTCGAGGGCGTCCACTTCCTATTTTTAAGACCAACTACCCCAGACGCTGAGAACCAACTCAGAAGTCCCCCTGAGTGGGGTTAACCTTGTCACACACGGCTCTCGAAAAAAGACTTTTCTTCAACCAACTCTGGGGTACATTCCACAAAGTATCGCACTGGAATATATGTTCAGATCACGTGTTCAGTTGTCGACCCCAAATACGGATCATCTACATATTATATTCATGTATTAGTATATATATATATATATATATGTGAAAAACCACATTTGAAATTTACAGTGTTTTGTGGAAAAGGTAGGCGTTTTTTTTTTGGGGGGGGGTCTACCATATATGTATATATATATAGAGAGAGAGAGAGAGAGGAGATTCCCAGTTTGGGTGGCTCGCCTAGATTTTCTTCCCGCGTTTTTCCACACGCGTTCGAGAAGCGCGGGGCCCAGCTCAGTCTCTCTGAGGTCCCGGGCTTCTCATTGAGGTACAGCCTGAGATGGAGAGTCGCTCTCGGGGAGGGACAGCGGGGCAACAGGGATCCGGATGCTTGATACACCTGAGCATTGCCTTGCAAATGGAGGTGTCCAACTTTATTTTGGTGGAAAAAGCATCATGTTTCAAAAGGGCAAAATGTATCTTTTAAGGAGCCCTGGGCAAGGGGGGGTCCCTCAACAGTTTCTGTTGATGGCGGTTTGTACCGAGGAAAAAACATCACGGCTGTAAAAAATGGCGTAAACAATAGCGGTCCAACTTCGGAGCCGTTTTTTTGTCCGGCTACAAATGGGTGGCTTTTTAGGATTCTGTGTGAATGTGTGGAGTAAGTCCACAGGCGGCAATCACTCTGGGTTGCTCTAAAGGAATGGTGATCAGATGCTGGTGGGCAACGAGAACATCATGGTCCACACGGAAGCGGACGCTCGCGTTTTGACGTTAGCAGCAACATCGCGCCTGGCACTGTCGAGGGTCCCTTGGTACCTGAGGATGGCTTGTGGGGGGGAAAAGGGGTCGTTCAGTACCTCCTTAGGTACCAAGTTGGACCCTCTGGGTGTGCGTCAAGACTCAACTCTCTGGCAAGTGCCGAACCAAAGCGCTTTGCATGGCCACGACAAGAGCTTGGATGATGCGCCTTGCGCTCTGAACGCGAGCTACTGGGTGAATGCTGAGCCGGCAGGTGAGATGCGATTGTCTTCACTGGGCTGCCCTCAGATCCCCTGCTAAGTTTAACTTTTAGCGGGTTAAATGGAACCCACCACTAAACACTCAAAGGATCTAAAAAGCTAAGTTGAACCGGATGGCCTTCGGGAGCCAAGTCCCTCTGAGCTTGGGGCTCAATAACATCCTGGGCAAATGCTTTCTTGCAGTATGTCTTTAAGAAGTCTAAGAAGTTCAGCTCCGAAGATTTGAGCTCCGCATACAAAAGGGCAAAGAACCAAAAGGTTGGCGGACATCTCCGCGCTCGCAAAATCCACCAAGGCACCTAGGCACCTGGAGGTAGGGGTCCCCGCCTCCTTGAAGGGAAGCCGAAAGCTTGAAACCAACTCTTCGGTGAAAATCTCCACACGCGGCCGAGGCAGGAAACACGACTGGGTTGACGTTGGGTGGAAGGGGAGCAAAACAAATCAAAAAAAACAGCAGCTAAGTGGATTTGGATTTCAAGCACTTAACCACAATAAGATCAAACATGTGTTCAATGTCTCCCAACAACAACCATGCAAACAATAAGAAGGGTAGCCAAGAAGATCAGCCGTGACTCTCTGCATCCACCCGAAATCTTGGCCGCTCAGCAAATGACGAGCTGCCCGAAAGACGCCTGAACCTTTGCAGGCAAAAGCTGGAAGTCAGCTCGCTTCAGTGTCACTAGGTCCTCCAGTGGAGAGGTTAGAATACGGGTACCAACTTTTTTTCAGTCGTCTATTTTAGTAGGGGAACCCTCCCAACCAAAAAAGGGGTGAGAGGTCGGGCACGATCCTGGGGGACCACTCTATGCCCCATCAACCCCAGACCTTTCTGGACCACACGAAGCGCCGCGCTTGCTCCATGGACTCCCAAACCGGAGCTGCCGTTTCGCTGGTGCATTGGTCTGGGCATAGCGTTTGGCAGGCCCAGCAACAGCGAGGGAGCTGCTCCGCAGAGGGCGGGCGGTAGGCCCAGAAGCAAAGCTGGTAGACATGTGGCATACCGGGACCAACGTAGAGGTGAACGTCTGAGTTGGCTTGGATGGCTCGAAATGCAAAGCCTTCGATGGAACTGCGCAGCATCTCAGTCCCTCCCACAGAGATCCACAGCGGGGGCAGCTTTTGAAGCTGCTCTGGGCTGGCAAAAAGCGGCGCCACGAAAGGGCTCTGGTGGTCCGCCCCTGCAGTGTACATAGAAACAAACTGCTCCATCATGGCTTCTTGACCGATGTAATCATACTTGTGGTTCTCTTTCCAGGATTTGGAGGAGAAGGGCAGCATCTCTACCCAGGGGCTCAGCAGCACCGCCCCCGCCGGCATCTCCGCCCCGGTGGCCTGCAACCTGAGCAGCAGCGCCAAGGCCAGGTTCCCCCCGGCGCTGTCCCCCGCCAGCACCACGTCCTTGGGGCGGACGTCTTGCGCCAGCAGCCACTCCCAGACCTCCAGCGCGTTGTCCAAAGCCGCTGGGTAGGGCGCCAAAGGCGGCTTGGGGTAATCCACGTTGAAGGCCCGGCAGCCCCCCAGCGCTTTCACCAAGTTCCCCACGATCATACGCTCAGTCCGCGCGCGGCACAGCACGAAGGCACCGCCGTGGAAGTAGACCAGCGTCTTGGCCGTCTGCAACTTGGTAGGCTCGGTCCACTCACCCCTGACGTTGCCTTCACACACCTCACGCACAGCGAGGCCCGGAGGAAGTATCGGGGTGGGCATGGGAGCGTCCGTCAGAACCTGCACAGCGTAGAGGTTGTTGCGCGGCACATGAGAGGCCAAGCTCTTCATGACCTGCAAGCCGACATAGTAGCTGCAGCTCCATTCGGGGAAGGGATGCTGCGACAGCCCGCAGCACAGTCCTTTGCCGCAGCCCACTGCAAGGTGCACAGGCAAGCAAAGCCATCCGCAGGTACAGCCCGCAGAGCAGGCCGAAAGCTCAAATCCTTGCTGGGAAGCGGGGCGGCAGCTCGGGAAGGATTTTGACCAGCAGCTCCCCTCCTCTTCCAAAAAGACCTGGTGCGGATGCCCCTCGTCAACGATCGTCTGCTGCGCCGGTGCTTGCAGCGCGCGCGCCTGCGCGCCCATGGCGCACATCTCCACCGACATGGCTCATAGAGGCTCACTGGCTGAGTGGATGGCCCAAGAAAGTACAAACTTCATATTCACCACTAAAACGGTCTTCCCAAAAAGCTTAAAGTTCATGAACTCAGGAGGTGAGGATGCCCAAACAGATGCTCAACTTGGGCTCCGCGTTCCGGCGCCTGGGCTTTCGCTGCGGCCGTTCGCGCCAAAACTACTTGGCCACAGATTCGCTCCTTGAAGCTGGTGCTTCACGGGTGCGCACACATGATGCGTATGCAGCTGCGTGCAGGTCTGACCGCTTGCTGGCCTTAGCGCCATGTTTCAGCCCTGCAATCTATCAAGCCCCATTTGTTTGGGGCAATACCCCATGTTGAATTATTTTGCTTAGTGGCTGTTGACCCCCCTGCAAAAAGTTCAACTTGTTTGGGGTTTAGTGGAAATCCTTTCTTTCCCAAAAAGTGCTTTTGTCTGAAGATCCAACCCAATAGCGGTCAAGTTTGATGGGTAGTTTGACAGGTGCCCTTTTTGGGAGCTCGCACTTCTTTTTTTCGGCGCGACGGAGGGGATTTCGAAACTCCCCTCCCGCTAAACGCTTCGCCGAGCGGCAGATATTGCGGCACCCGACATACCACCTGAGAGCCGATCCAAAGACTTGCACAGGCTGAAGTCAGAAGCCGAGCAACACACTCAGCTTGGTGGCTGTTATACCCACTGTTGTCCCCCCCCACTCTAACTGTTTGTGCGTTAGGGGGGGAACACACAATTTCTGAACGATTTAAAGGATTGAAGAGCCAACAAAAAACAGCACCCAAGACAACGCATTCATCCCGCAGGTGGGCGATATTCGCACACACCATTGCCCCACAAAACAAATACCCTCTTGCGGATGGTCGTTACTTGGAAAATACCACAATCCATAGGATACACCCATGACTCAGTTGCCCAAAGGGCGCAGTAATAGATAACCTTTGGGGACCACAACTAAACATTCAACTACCAGGAGCCTCAAAAACCGATGAAAATGTCATACCTACAAAAAACACGATGTTTTTTGGGAAAACACGATGTTTTCGGGAAACGCCGCATTTTCGATTTCAAGCAGTTTCCCATACATTCCTTCAACTCGTCATCCGTTCTCAAAAGATCTCAAAAGCATCATCTCAGCCTCAGAATCTCCCATCGCCCTCCCCTTTTGCACTCGCAACGAAATCAGCTTCGCATTCGCCACTCGTCTTTCGCAACTCCAACCTGAAAGAAGGAGGCCGGGGACCCAAATAGTCAAAAGTACCACGGTTTTATGACACTTGTCAAGCAGCAGTGCCATGATGAGGGCGTGCTGGCTTCGAACAGCGCGCAAGCTCAAGCAAAGACCGTGCTTTTGCTCACGATTCGTTGTTTTCCAGCAACATTCTCGAATTAGCGCATTCGTGGTTGAACCCGAAAAACCCATAGAATTTCCACGCCTTGCCACGCTTTACTACGGGTTCTCCACGGTTTAGCTACGGGTTAGAAAACACGATGTTTTCCAAAAACACGATGTTTTCGGTTGGGGCTGCGGGCTTTCTACGGGTTTCTACGGGTTTTCTATGGGTTTCTACGGGTTTTCTGCGGGTTTTCTGCGGTTAGCCGCCAGGATCCCGCCCCATTTGCTAAAAAAAACTCAAAATTGATAAAAAACAATCTCAAAAGTGTCACCTGGTCTTGTTTTGCACCAAAAGGAGCTTTCGGATTCCAGCACCCCCTTCAAACTGGTTCGGTATGACCTGGCGCCAGTCTTCAGGTGCCTGTTGCTGTGAAAGGTACTTCAAGACTGAAGCCAGCTGCACACCCTGGCTGTCAGGATCATCAATGTGGTCCTTAGAATTTGAAGCATACTCAGTATAGAGCGTTGCCCTCAGTTGAAATCTTAATGGGTGATGTCTGTGTGAATCCACTCCCGACCCTTGCTTTTGACCCTTTGCTCCAAATGAGTGTTTGGCCTCAGAAGCTCATTTTTAAGGGGTTTTATCAAAAACACGATTTTTTTCCTGAAAACACGATGTTTTCAGAAAATCGAGAAAAAACACGATGTTTTAGTCAGGGTACGACATTTTTACAGGTTCTTGAAGCCCTAGGTACCAAAAAGGAGAAATTACAAAGGTCAGGTCGATTTGCCTTCCAGTGAGAGATGACAGCATTTGGTACTCTCTCCTTGGATCCCGGTCACGTGGATCCCGGTTCGGCAATAAATGTTCGCCAACAGAACCTCTCTGCAGGTGCGACGGGCGCACGCATCTCTCTGACTTGAACAAAGGTGCGCGTGTCCGGAGATGACACTAGACCTCTTCCCCAAAAAAATCATCACAGACATATTGCCTCTTTCAGTTGCACCCAATTCAAGACAGACATATTGTCCAGGGGACTCTTTCATGAACAGCTGCATACACTGCAAGCAACTCCATGCCAAGCTGGAGCAATCGATGTACCATTGGCCAGGGTTGTTCGCATAGGTGTCCTTGTGGAAGCAGAAACGGCTTTCGTAGAACCCGACTGAACCCACCAATCTCTTCCCCCTGTTAATAGATGTCTCCCTTATTGCTAGGGGGAGGGAAAACGTTTTATTATTAGGGAAGGGATTACTGTCTATTGGCAACCAATTTTCTTCACATGACTGCTAGGGATGCTCCCCAAATTAATCAAGACAATGTCTGAGGTCGAGCATTACAAGTAAAGTGGTCGATTCGCACAGCTGGCCTATACCACTCAATAAGGCTGGGCTGTCCTCAGATCTGCTAAAAGCTTAACTTGTGGTTTAAACCGCCACTAAACCGACTAAAAAGCCTAAGGGGATGGCTGGGAACCACCATGGGTGGGATAAAAGGAAACCCAACCACTCAACCGATTAAAAAGAACCTCCAAAGATGGGACAATCCAATGGAACCACCAAGATGGAAGTTTCCAATTCAGAAAATGGATCACCGTAGTCCCAATGCCAGATCTAAGGCTAGCCTACGCCATCGTTCCGACTCTGGGTGTGTCCTTTTAAGATTGGACCCTCAAGAGTATTGTTTTCCTTTTGGCTTCCTTTTAAAACCCACCAAAAACGGGTACCTCAAAAAAGACAGGCGCCCTCTCACGATGGTGGTCTTCGTTTTGCTTTCCCTTTAACACTATCAAACTGGAGGGTTCCCCCGAAAAAAAGAGCTCCTATGACAGATCCAAGTCGGATGAGTTCCCGTTAAGATCGTTCCTTGGTGTGAAGTTCATTGCAAGGAACTCCAAGAAACCCACGCAAACCCACGGAAGCCAAATGAAACAAGAGGAAATCCAAGGAAGCCCAAAGGAAACCGCGTGAAACGCAAGCACACCCAAGCAAACCCAACCAAGCTGAAAAGTGGATAGAGGTCCATAGGCCAATCGCGCCCTTGCCGAAATTGGAAATCGGGTCGGCCTCTGAGTCGCTGGTGACCAGGGCTGTCACCAGCCGCTCCTCGCTGGGCGCCGAACCCGCGGAGACTTGACATCTAGCCTCAAACTGGAACTACCCATACGTGATTGACCTTGGAAAGGGAACAAAAACTTAAATTTTAGCAGTTAAGTGGGGATTTCCCACTAAACCACGACAAGCAAAAATGTAAAATGTTTCCCAACAACAACCATGCATAAACATGGCTGGCTCTCGCCGAAACAAAGGCGGTTACTAGCCTTTGTTCTTTTGTTAAGGGTCCACCCTTCTTCAGGCAGGAGTACTTGGCGGGTGAGTTTCAACAGAACTAATGTCAATCAGAAGCATTTGGCACAATCGAAGTTTTGTTAACACAATCGAAGTACGTTAACCAAAAACGATATTTGTTAGTCGGTTCCGAGCCAGAGAACACATCGTGCACTCCACTGAAAATTCAAGACCGTGATGTAAGTTGAAATCAACGGGTCGCTTAAGCCTCCTATGCAAAGTTAAGCTCTCAGTACTGTTCAATAACACCCACCCACCCGGCGTTTTCACTCGGGAGGCTCTTTCCAGAAATAAACAAACACACTACCTGATTCAGTAGCGGCAGCTTCTTTCTCCAGGATTAACAACCACAAGGGACCCCAACAAAAATGGACCTTGGCAGTCTCTAAGATGGTGTCCACCGAACCACCGGGCCCCATCGCGAAAATCGCATGCGAACCTCTAGTCGGAAACCCAGGCCCAACTCTTGGGGCACATTCATCATATAGATCCTCTTCATAGTCTGTCCACCTCAACATATGAGTCATCTAGTCTTCTAAACAAAATGACCTCGGTATATCTGAGTCATCTTAGAACACCCTCAAATATGTGGCGGCTAAATTTCCAATAGCGGCCCACCTCAAAAGTGGTTGGTGTACGTTAATCCTCACCAACCTCTGCTGTCCCATCATCATTTCAAGTCCGTGACCCAATAAAACTTCAAAAGCCATACGATCTGCGCCTCCGCAACAACTCCTCACTTCCGATCGAGCGGATTGTCTTTTAAAGTCCACACAAAACTGGGCTGCCCTCAGATCCCCTGCTAACAGTTTAGCTTTTAGTGAATTAAATGGAAACCCCACTAAACACTAAAAGGATCTAAGAAGCTAAGTTGAACCGGATGGCCTTCGGGAGCCAAGAAAAAAATACCGCCAACATGGTCCAACCCCAAAAAGTGACTCAAGAAACTCGCTGAAAGTGAGAGACTCTGTCAAAGGCCACTTGATCAGTCCTGGAGCCCAGGGAAGTCCCACTGCAGGCGGCACCTGAAAAAAAAACGCCCGTTGCGAACGCGTGGCGGTGTTCTTTTTGGGGAGAACGTGGAACAGGCGGCCAAAAACTCCGAGGAAAACTGGAGCGAACCACTCTCTATGATTGCTCCTCGGAAGTGTCTGGTGAAAAAGTTCTTGTTACTTACGGTAGATTCAGGGAAACCAAAAGGAGACTTGGATATTAGGATTTAGGCAAACCATAAGCCCTGGAACAAACAAGACACCATTACCAGTAGTGATTTGATCCCCGTCAAAACCAGGGGTAAGCAAATGGAAGCCAATCGTGGCTATGTAGTTATGGCAAATATATGACATGGCAAAGATCATTTATCAGTGCTTAGAAAAGGTTATTAACTGTAAAATCTAAGGAAAATATGGACATGATCCCATATAAGGGAATTCTTCAGATGTAAACTTATGGATGTCCAAGAAACAAAATACACGTTTTGATATAACATAGGATATCCTCCAAACATTGCATCCAAGAGTCGTGTTTTATAATGATTGTCACCCCACATTACACTAAGTGTACCAGATAGGATAGGTAATGTTAATAAAGTCATGAAAGCTGCAAATCAAGAAAGAAACAGGACACACTGGGATAGTCTTCAAACTAAGATCATAATATCTCAGACTTAGAATTGCTGTCCGAACGTTCAGAGATGAAAAGACAAGATCATCATGGTGGATATAATGCCCATCCTGTACCACTTCCAAATTCTGAGATGGAAGAACGGATTAGGAAACTATGTATATATATATATATGACAGTGAAATAATGATAGAAACCATATTGACTCTAGGATATACCATGTCTGAAGATACTTGAACCATAGGTACAAAATAACTTACACATCCTCCAAACAAGCTGGCATTACTTCTGGGGTGGAAGTATATGGGTATGGGTCAAAATTGAACCATCTGGGACTGCAGGTTTAGTCCTTGGTTTCATCCACCAGGGTTCCATTTTGGGTACCTGTTTTTGACCCACAGCCATATATATATATATGTATATATATATTCATATATCCAATGTTTCCTTGAAGCGGTTTGGCTTCCACACCTTGAAAGCCTTGGCACAAGCCAGATGGGATGTATTCCCAGGTCGCTGTTCCTCTAAGCTGGTGCTTGGATGTTTCTAGGGGTTGATTCCTTGTCCATTCTTTCAGCCATCGTTCTTTTCAAAAACCGATCCCCAGGGTTCTGGGTGGTTTTCTAGAAAGATTTGGATCCCTGGAAAGAATGGAAAAGGAAGTTACTCCTAGAATGTTCCCATGCAACGAGATGGTGTTCGTCCATGAATCCCTTGACCTAAAAAAAGGGGGCCAGCTCTACTAGGGGGGTGTTTCAATGGAATGCACCATGATGCCAACCATGTTTGGCGACCCCAATTTGCTTGAGCCCCCCTAGAAAGAGCATATTTCCCGTAGTGATAGCGTCTCTTTAAAGCCAGGGGGGGATAAAATAGTTGAGCATGTGTGAAGGTGATAATGTTGACCCAAGAGTTGAAATAAAAGAAAAACAACCAAACAAGCAGGAAGCAAATGCACCAAATGGACAATTGAATATCACTGCGCAGCTCTGGCCTTGTCCTCAAAATGAGTCACAATCAAAAGCTGATATTAGAGGGGTCAACCCACAAACATGTAAACAATCAAGAGGGCGGTCGCGCCTTTCCTGGCTGGGATTGTCCTACTCTTCGTCTGCCCGGGTTTTGAATGGATCCAGAAATGGAGTTGCGGAGGTCCAGAGGTTCCTCCCCAATTCCATTGAAAGGGTATGAGTCACAATCAAAGCCCGGTATTGAAATGGTCGTAATCCCAGAACCATGTAAAAAATTACCAAGGCGGCCGCACCCATTTATGGCTGGGATTGTCCCTTACTACCCTCGAATTACTCGGGTTTTGATTGTGACTCATATTATCATAATATGACAGCCTCCCACAGCACGGAGGCAAACAGCCCGCCTCTTCCTTCTGCTGCGCCCAGCATGCTGTAAGAAGTATTGCCTGAGCCCGAGGGAAAGGAGGGTTTGTCCGAAAGGGGTGGCTCACACGGCTCCCTCGGGTGTTCGATTCGCGCTAGTAAGTTGCAAGTTGTAACGGTAGCCATTCGGATATAACCCACTTATAACTCGGTTGCTTTCTGCTCCCCTGCTAAAAGTTTAACTTTTAGTGGTTTAGTTCGGAAAACCCACTAGTTGGCAAACAGTTATTCAGTCCTAACAGCCCTTGGAACATCCAAGTACCGCTCCCCGAAACATCATGGATTGATCAAAAATATCTGGCCCTGACCTGACCATGGGTAACTCTTCCCATCCAATGAAAATAACTCACTGGCCCAAAAAAAGTCCAAACTGTATATTTACCACTAAAATGGTCTTCCCAAAAAGTTTAAAGTTCATGAACTCAGGAAGTGAAAAGATCATTTTGATGGTGGCTTGGCCTATGGTCATCCCATGTAAAGGACCTTTGCGGGAATACTGTAAACACAAACAGACTCTATAGGGAGCGCTGCTGCCCATAAGCGCCAAGGACTCCGTCCAACTGAAGCCCTTTCCCGGCCTGGTCTGTTCAAAGATGTCTGCTTGGGTATGAAGTAGGGACCGCCAAAACGGTGTGTGCTGTTTTGGCTTCCCTTTTATATAAACGCAAAGGGTCAACCGACACGTCACCCCTTTAATTTGGGTTTGTCTCCAAAGCGTGGGTAGCTTCCCTTTGGACTCCTTTTAAAGTAAACAAAGGGGTTACCCCATGCGTTCTCTGGATAGGTTCCGCGTGGCTGTGACAAGAAGTGAGTTGGCCACTTTAGAGGGAGACGCACTCCCTAGCCGAACATCGAAATGCGAGTAAAGCAACAACACATGGACGCAGTTCCCTGCTGTTGTTGCCGTGAATTCCTGATTACCCACTTGTCATAAAGCTTGCGTCTCCGCTTGCAAAAGTAGCCGGCGGACAACCAGCCAGCCAGCCAACCCACCCATCCACCACCCCACCCAACCAACCAACCAACCAACCAACCAACCAACCAACCAACCAACCAATCAACCAACCAACCCATCCACCCCACCCAACCAATCAGTCTGGGCCGATCTCACTAGACCTCCCATCGAATCTCCTATCGAACCTGGGCTTCCGGACGCGCCGCTCACTCGCAGCAGCAGAGGCTCCACACTGCTGCTGTCGTTCCGTTCCAACACCGCCGCCACCTGGCATCTCCGAAACGGCAAAAACGGATTGAGTGGGAACTCACCTAACCTGGGCTGCCCTCAGATCCCCCGCTAAAAGTTTGACTTTTAGTGGGTCAAATGGAAACTACCACTAAGCACTAAAAGGCTAAAAAGCTAAGGAACCGGATGGCTGGGAGCCACCGAGTAAAGTTTGAGGCTGTGGTGGCTGGCTGATTTAGGGAACTGTGTGAGGTTTGGGAAACCTGATCCTCGAAAAGGAAACCACAGGGAAACCATGATTTATAGGGGTCAAACCCTCAAAAGCCCCGAGAACCAGCAGCAAGCCTAGTCTCGTTGGATTGGAAACTCTTGGATCCAGGGTAATTGGGTAGGCTTGCTATCACATTTGCTGCAAATATGCTAAGAGCAAATCTGCATGTTGTTCTATTTGCACGGTTTCAGCAATTGGTGGTTTGGGTCGCATTCTAGCTGCACCACTCCATTAATTGAATGTTCCAAGTAATTGATCAGTGGTCTTAAACTATGCTTTGCCGCCTTCGCGAACCCTTTTGCAAACCTTCACGCCCCCCAGTGTTTCTTCGCGGGGCACATTCGGCCAAGGAACCCTTTTACCGAGCTTTCGCGGATGGTTCCCGTTGACACAAACATAAGGAAGCAAAATAAAATGCACAGCTCAGAATCCGACCACACATAGATTGGGGGCTTGCACCAATGGTTTGCAGTAAACAACCCGGGTACCCTGAAATAAATCGTAGTCTTGCAGGAGACCATTTTGCTTGTTCGCCAGGAAACAATCTTACAACTTATGCGCAGTGATTTGCGTTGAAACCAATAGAACCCCAGCCAGCCTCGCGCATGCCAATGGTTGCTGCTTTGCGCACCAGCTCTAAATGAATTGGGGCCCAATGTGGCAGCTTGCTTGGGAAGGCAACTGGGATTTGTCTCAAATCTTGCTGTCCTCTCGCTGTCGAAGCCTGTCCTCTCCCCGAAGCCAAACCACCCTCGAAAGCTAAGGCGCCCCAGACCTCTGGTGGCCATAGGGTTAACTGACCTGGGGCTGACCCCACCCAGCCGGGGTGAGCCAATCCCAATCCCAATGCTACCACCCCCCCTATTCGGCGGCTAATAGGGTTTCTGGGTGCCTTTGTTGGGGTCCGAGGCTGAAAAGCTAAGGAACCGGATGGCTGGGAGCCACCAAGTCTTTGGGAGGGGGGACCCAGACGCGGTGTGAGGATTTGAAGCTTTTCAAGTCAAATGGGAAGACATGTCCAAACCACCAAACCACACCACCAACTTGACCCTCTTCCAGCTTCGGGACTTCGCAGCGACTGGAAAGTTCAACTTTGGCAACTCTCCGATTGCGATCGTGACGAGTGCCTCAGGTTCCACTTTGCCAATCTGTGGTGGAGGCAGCAACTGGAGGTCGGGCAGCTCTGCCACCTGAACCCCGTGGATCCATTTACCATCGCTTCCGATCGAGTGGACTGGCCAAAAGAGGTTTAAACTTGTTGTATGCCACTAAAATGCGCTTCCCAAAAAAAAGGTCCATGAACTCAGGAGGAAGTGAGTGCCTCTGTCGTTGGTATCCAAGGGCGGGGGCCACCCTTTAAAAACCAAAAGGAACATGGCTGGCTGTCTGCTCTAAGGGGAACTGGGAGGAAGGGGGGGGAGAACCCGCCATTCGAAAGGGCGAGGATTTCCGTTTTGGGACATGGACCCCCTTTTAGTTTCGTTCCTTCCGTTGACTTGTTGGGGACATGTTTCACCCGAAGAGTCAGACTCGAAACCTGCTGATGAGAACCGATTAAGCAGAAAGGCCGGATTTTGAGGGGTGGGGCCCGGTGTCCCCTTCTGGGGATTCAGACCACTTTTGAAGGGACCCCCCCCCCAGAAAAAATCAAAAAGGGGGGGGGGGGGAAAACAACGAAAAAAGGTTCAACGCAGGTTCCAGGTTCGACATAGAGGGGGCAACATTCAAGCGGAACACATACGAGGAATTTCAGCGGACACATACGCAAAGGACTTGGGCCCACTGAACCTTAAACCCAAAGTTTTGATGGCTATGGCCCCAAACAGCTGTTCGCCTTCCAAGGTTTTTTTCACTCAACTAAGCCGGACCGGAGGGTGTTCCGGCATTTGGATAAATCAGTTTGAGCCAAGCCGTTGAATAAAATGTGGGTATTTTTTGAAGGTAGTGCCTGTGGAAAATAATGTATTCAGGTTTATGAGGGGAAAGCTGGGAACGCAAGGATATCCTGTCCGACCCTCTTCCAGTTTCCTGTTGCTAACTACTTGGGTGCTCGATTCGCCAAGTCAGTCACTTGTTGGTAGCCGAGGCTATAAGCCACTTAAGCGTTCCCTAAGTGGGGTTGATCTTATTCGGGGGTTATACCCCAACTGGCTAACCACTTGCAAACTTGGCCGAACATCCAAGTAAAGAGGTATTGCAAATCTAATTGCAGGGCCCGCAGGTTACATCAATCACTGCGCCTCAAAAAACATGTTTTGCCTCAAAGCCACCAAGAGTAGCTTTGATTCCTTCCCAGAGTTTGTAGTCCATAGCCTGTATCTTAATTTCAACAGAGATCCCAGAAACTGGCAAGATTGGGCCGCACGCTTGCCAAGCCAATGTGTTCAATGCAAAGCGCACCTCGCGGCACTTGCTCCAACAGACTTGCAACCTAACGAAAGCCGAAGTCGCTCCACGTCCATGGACCGAAAGGGCCAACTTTGTGCTTTGAGCGGGAAGCTCGAAGTCCTCCGGACAGGTTCTTAGCACCTTTCCGGCTCTGAAAATGGAGACCATAGGGCGTATGGCTCCAATACGTCTCTCCGAAAAGCGCAGCCCACAGAAAAACTCCCGGCGCCTCCCATCCGCGCCTGCGTGATAAAACCTGTACTCTTCTTGGCCAGCAAATGCGACACCAGGAAGCGGTTGGCCACCATATGCGCCCTGGCGAGTGGCTGAGGAGAGGGGAAGCCATCCGATGGATGCCACCAAGGGAAACCTAAAGGTAGGGGCCTATATAAGTCCTTAGAATGGGGTTTGTGGGGCACTTAAACACCACTAAACAACACGTATCATGATCATCATAGGATTAACATGTTGGTTCCCTAGTTCGCCCCTCATACGTATCGTCCAAAAAGAACCTCGGCATGGGAACTGCACTTACGATGTTTTTTGTCTGGTTTCAAGTTAAATCTATGGGGGAGCACAAACACAGACTCAGCTCCAAGCACAAGCACGAGTCAACCTGGAGTCTTCGTGACCCTTCAAGGGGCCAAATCTCAACATTGGGCCATGACACCTAAGAAGACGCCAGGCACTGACCTTTAGGCAACCACATCCCAAGCAAAGAAAACGTTGATCCGGAATATACCCCAGCTCCCACTAACATGGCGCCTGACAGGGGGTCCTCCCACAAATGCTATGTTAGTGGGGAGGGTACCAGTACCTTCCTGTCCACTAACATGGAACCTGACTGAAAGAGGGGTCCTGGTTTGGACGAGATGTTTTTCCTTTAAAAGCGGCCATTTCTCTGGTGGAGTCAATGGCAACGTGGACATCACCTTTCCCCTAGTTGCTGGTTTGGTGGATGGAACTGATCGATTCGGGACCTTCACCCGCTGGCTTCATTTGAGGGGTTCAAACCCCCAGTTCCGACCAATCCAAAGCACAGGGGTACCGAGTCGAGTGCAGGCAGCCAACGCAAGCACTGGGTGGACATCAAGTTTTGGTGGGGGATGTATGTTCAAGGGGCTCCCTCTTCAGGAAATATCATAGCTTTGTATGTCGGTGTGCGTATCAAATAGATATCTATATATATACACACATATATACATGTGTAGTATATATATATATATAGAGAGAGAGAGGCGTGTCTGTTTTTGAGGGTATGTTTAAGCTACTGCCGGAGTCAGCATTGCCGTGAAGCGCCCCATCAGGGCAGGGTTTGCCTCTTGAGTCTTCCCGAAGGGAAAATGGAATTATAAATTTCAGGGGTCACCACCCCCCCCGGCCCCTACAGGGCGCATCAAGAACTGGGTGCTTCTTCGCACCTTGCCGTCCTGCTCTACATGGTAATCACTCTTAGGCAAGGGCTGCCCAGCAGGGAGATTCACCACGCACGTTGTCGCGTATTCCAGGGCTTCTCCTTTGTCGGTGGGGCGAGACCGGCGCACCTTGTCGTATTTCTCTTCGACGTGGGAACTGTGGCATTGGGGCTGGTGCCCCGCTTGAGTTCTTCATGGGCAGCTCATGCGCCAAAGTGCCAGTCAGGCCCGAAGGCATCCTTTCTCTCAGAGTTACACTTCGCAACGGCCATGTAGCGCCGCTGGTCCTGGTCCTGGACTACCCTGTGCTCTCAGCCGGCTCACCATTCCTGACCATGCCTCACCGTGCCTCACCATCCCCCCCCCAAAAAGAAAAGGTTCCTAGAGGTCCACCAGGGTTCCAAATCAACCGATTGTGGTTTCACGAGGCACGGGCTCATGGTGACCCATCCGGAAAACTCCATATTAAAGCAAACACACAGACCCATACATCCATACTAAATACATCTACCTGTACCCTCCATTTAACCCAGAAAACTCCGAAATCACCAAGCATAAGTTTGGGTTGCAGTAACCATCTTGTTTATGGGTAGTTTGAGGGTCCAGGCAAAAATATACTGACCCCATAGTAGCAAAATTGATCGCATGGTCACTCCCCGCATCCGCTTCCCATCTCCCGCCTTTCGGTCACGGCGGCTGGCACATGGCAGAGCAGCTCTCGGGCGCTCAAGCGCTCAGCTGGTACCACCAGGAGGTTCCCATCGTAGGACACGTTGAGACCTACGTCCCATCGCGAAACCCGCTGCAAATTGCCTGGAACAGGGAAATGACAAACTTTAAGCAATTGGATGTAACAAGTCTTCTCCAACAAATGGAAGTAACAAGTCTTCTTGAGCAAATGGAAGAAACAAGTCTTCTTCAGCAAATGGAAGAAACAAGTAACTTTAAGCAAGACAAAGTATCAAGCCTTCTTAAGCAACAAGCCTTCTTAAGCAAATGACATGCAACAAGTCTTCTTGAGCAAATGGAAGTAACAAGTCTTCTTCAGCAAATGGAAGAAACAAGTAACTTTAAGCAAAACAAAGTATCAAGCCTTCTTAAGCAACAAGCCTTCTTAAGCAAATGACATGTAACAAGTCTTCTTAAGAAAATGGAAGTAGCAAGTCTTCTTCAGCAAATGGAAGAAACAAGTGTTCTTCAGCAAATGGAATAAACAAGTCTTCTCCAGCAAACGGAAGTAGCAAGTTGTCTTAAGAAAATGGAAGTATCAAGTCTTCTTACGCCTTCTTCAGCAATAATCTTCGGCAAACTAAAGTCACAAGTCTTTTTCAGCAAATGGAAGGACATGCGAGCACCAGCTGGGCAAAGAATCAAACAATACGCATCCCTGGCTCAAGATCGAAGACCAAAGCCCGTCGTGCGGTCGAAGAGTTCATTTGACCAAAGAAATTGCCAAAAACCGTTTGTACAACATAAACAAAGCCTATGTAACCTGCTTGCTTGCTTGTGCTTGTTTGATTGTTTGCTTGCTTGCTTGCTTGCTTGCTTGCTTGCTTATCTAGTTTGTTTGCGGGTTTGTTGCAAACACGCACTCTCCAAGCGCAAAGGTTTGTTGACACACCCATGGCCACCCGTTCCGGCGCTCGGTTTGGACCGACCCTGGGCCCGTCTTGCGGCCGGACCTGCGAGTGCGCAGTGGGACTCACGCACGTCTTGCCTCAGTCGGTACACTATTCAAAGTTAAACTGGGCTGAAGTTGGACTTGTTTTAGCTTAAGAAGCGCCTAAATGCCGCTTAAACATGCTCAAATCCCGCTTAAAACGGCTTAGGCTAGATTCCCAACACCTTCCCCCAATTTAGCTTCCTGGAGAATGGGGATTTGTTTCTTTGAACTATGGCCCCAAAGGTTTCTGACGCGGAAAATATGATTTGACCATGGGGGTTGGTGACAAGGAGAACCCCCTGAAGTGGTGTCCTTGTGGTTTGCATTTAGAACCCAACACAAGCTGGAAGCCGCAAATGAATGAATCCTTGGTAGACTTAATACATGTCTTAAAGAAAAGGATTCAGTGAAAAAAAACAATACATGTGTTTCTCAAAATGGTGGATTTAGTGTCTAAAGAGTATCCAACAGGAAGCGCTTTCCCATTTTAGAGTCCCCTATTGGAAGGTCAGTCTGGGGTATCCTCCCTGGACCCTCAACTTTTGGCTGGTTGAAAGGTACAAATGAAAGAAACCCATGAAGGCGACAAGTTGAAAAGGTCAGCTGAGAAACTGTTTGCTTGTTGAGAGGATAAATGAATGAAACCCAAGAAGGCAACAAGTCTACGCCTGGCGATGTTCAGGACCAGCCATAGCCAGCCGAGTGTGCGGCCACTGATGGGTGTAGTCGGCCACCGGTACCGGGTCGCAGCTGTCCTGAGCGTCAGCTTCCTTGACCACGCTGGGTGTTTTGGACCCTCCAAAAAAGAAAACTCAATCCCCCTGAACCCTCAAACTACCCATAAAATGGGTTTCTGGGGTGGTGTCCCATGTTTCAAGGGTAGTTTGAGGGTGCAGGCCTTTAGGTTCCCTGCAAAGCACCCGAGCCTTTCTTTTCTTGCCGGTACCTTTCCTGGGGTTGGTTTAATGGGACACGAAAGAGAAACCACCAATGTTTTGGGGCTCCTTACTTTGAGAAACCTTTTACAGTCGGTTTCTTGGCCGAAAAGGGTTGCATATGGAAAATTCATATCTTGAGATTCTGCCGCCGTTTTCGGCTGTCGGTTTCTTGGCCAAAAAGAGGGTTACAGAATTCATACTCCCCTACAAATTAACCTGGGTTCCGCAGAAAACGGGCCCCCAAAAGGAGATTCCAGCAAAAAAACGTGTGGTATCGTGTGGTGTTTGAGTTCACATTAATCTGCAGGGGAGTATCGACAGGCTACCCTAAAATGGTTTGAAGGAGCCTTCAGGGATGCATTCTCCTCTCGACAAATGGCACATACCCAAAAGGGAAATCTTTGACCAACCCCCTGGCCGTGCAGATTACGTGGCGCTGCACTAGATGCCGCTGTCAAGGCCGCTGCGCATGCAGCTGCGAGACGTGTGTTTTATGTGTTGCTCAGTTTTACCTGATGCGTGTGCCAACACCCCCCTTTCGTTGCAGGCTTCAATCTCACCCAGGCTGGGCCAAGGCTAATTACTTCAAACGATTCCATCACACGGTTGCCATCAGAAGGAACCGCAACACCGTTGTCATAAGGTTTTCTGTTTCCAAATCTCCAAGGCTACTTCAAACGATTCCATCACACGGTTGCCATCATTCTGTTTCCAAATCCTGAATCCAACATGAGGTCCCTAATACTGCCTCAATCAACTCTCCCGCATTCCAAACCCCCCCAGCCATTTAAAGTCTGCGTGTGGGTGATTCTCTTTGAGGGTACTCCTTTCACCTTGGTCCATTTCGCGCAACCGGAAAAACCATCATCCACTTTGGGGTCCCGGTCCAAGTCCCTTGAACGCAAATGGGACCCCTCTTTTGCACCCATGGACATCCTTAACTTTTTGTCACCCTGCATACGCCACCACCTACATCAACTCTTCCATCAGTTCTGGCCATCCGTGCTCCAAATCTGGAGATCTGCCCACTTGCCTTGAAAATGCTCCGAAGCCCGCTAGCGCGCCCCTCTGAACTACAATAGTATTCAAGCTTCGGGACCATTTAGAAATTCCCCACCACAACCATTTGCCGCCCCGGACCCACCAACTCGTATTGCATCCTGATCACCAGCATGGCTTCCTTTACAAGCCCGTTGAAAAAGGTACCTGGAACCTAAAAACTACCCATGCAGCAAGAATTGGGCGATCTCCTTTCTTTTTAAGAAGGACAATGATATGAGCATGACAAAACCGTTTTTACCCAGTTCTCAGCCCTGTTCTGCGAGAAAACACCGTAAAACACGGTGTGTTGTGGCATTGTTCATGCTAAAATCACCTCCCCACCAACTCCCGGTCTCTTGTTTAATGGGCAGGTTTGAGGCTCCGGGTACCCGATTCATCCCATGTCCTCGATGAGGCCCTGCCAAACGCTTTGCTGGATCCAGTGGAAGGACTCGAAGATGTAGCCTTGCGAAAGGCCAAACAGCCCACTGGTGGCGACAAATCCAGAGCCCCAGTGGATTTCCGCGTGGGAAAAAATGCTTTTGCGTGCTTTATTGCTTTTTTCCTTTATGTTTTTCTCAAGGGGAATGGTTGATTTTAAAGGGACACCATTCCAAACAAAACGGAAGAATGTGCCAACTAACCGTACAGCTGACTCCCAGCCCATCTGCGGGACGGCCAGACACGGAAACTGCCAGCTGCCTGGCTGCCTGACCTCACCTCCTTGCCGGGCGTCTTAGCAGCCTGCATGTGACGTTCTGCTGTTCAACGGAATATGCTACACGCGCGATTAAGACGGAAACACACATGAAACGTCATGGAAATGAGGACATGAAAACAATGTGACAAGTGGCCATTGCGTGCTCACTAGCTCATAGGTTGAGAAATGCGGTGTGAGTCTGAAGAGCATTGGCAAAGGAGATGCAGTCCATGATAGCTGTAGAGGTGGGATTCACGCAAGCTTCTTGCCTTGGAACCTGTGCAAAAGCACCAACGTAGGGACCACTCAAAACAGGGGTAGATGTGTGAAATTCGGTTTGGCTTGCCTTTAATCCAGTCTGAATAGGGCAACCTCAAAAACACACAACACACAAACACACACATCTAAAGACAAAAATGGGGGAGGGGGACATATCGACCAACATCGTGCTGTCCGAAGGCTCAACTTGGCTGGGGAAGCAGTTCTGCTGGCTGGCTATTTGACCACCTCACATTCAACAAAGAACGGCCGCGTCATGAGGAAGCGGTTTCTGACACAATGGCTGCGTGTGCCAAGTGAGAGCCGGTGTGATGCAGGTTAAATCTTCACATACAGCCTCGAGAATCATGTTCTGACGAAGGCCGAAAACATAGCCTCGATGAAACAAGCCTTATCTGGGGTGGTGGTGGTGGGTGGTGGGTGGTGGGTGGTGGGTGGTGGGTGGTGGGTGGTGGGTGGTGGGGGTGGCGGCAGTGGAGCTGGTAGTGTCCTTGACCAAGGAGAAAAGTTCCAAGCAAAAGTATCATAATTCCCCGGCCACGACCACTTGACCACAACTGTGGCACAACTTGATCCAATCACCTTACCAAATATGACGCTAATCCTTGTGGAGAACACAGGCAAGCGACATAGTGAACATCACAAGATGTTTGGTGAGTTTAAGCTGCCAAGAACTGGCGTGCAAGTCATGTTGAGTCATAACGTGGATGGTCAAAATCCTGCACCACTTTGAAACCATGGAAAAAACCGTTGTTGGATGGTATTTAGAAGGAAATTGGTATTGCAGGGTTTCTCAGGTGGTGCAGGATTTCGTCCATCCGCAGTAGCTAGGTGACAAAACGGGGTCCGGAACAATTTGAGAGCCCCTTTCCATTTGTGTGGTGTCTTACAACTGTGGAGGAATTAAGCAATGCGTCTGCCTGAAAACATGCAGGCTCAACAGGCATATTAGTAAACATCGCAAGCGAACTCGGTGTGCTGGACTGCAATCAGAAGTCAGTGAAGTCAGAAATCGGCTTCGCCTGGCCCAAAATGACAAATATCTCAAGAACACTTCTTTGTTGGGTGAACTCGTGAACTTCATACCTGTCTCGTGAACTTCTCTAAGCACCTCTCTCAAGCATCAGCTTTCTCATATAGACCCGAAAGTTGGCTTGCCTTTGATAAAAAGCCTTGGGGAATTAAAAAAAACTTCTCAGCGGGCAAAAGCGCGGGACCTAGGTGCGAGAATTCCCGGAAAAGGAGAAATCCTGCCGAAATGTCGCCGAAAAAACACAGCCCTGGCGCCACATCGCCCTTGTTTGTTGGGCCCCCTCCAGAGTTGGGCAACCAGCCCCTGGCCCCTTTACAGGGAGCTCGCAGGGAGCAAGACAATTTTTTCTCTAAACAGGACAATTTTTGATGGGTTCAATGTTGGACAGGGTATTCGCTATGGGCCAATCTACTGCAAATGGACATACCTCTCCAAAAGGGGAAAAAAACTTTGGGGCCAACCCTGGGCCCCTGCTCTTGGGACCTTCTGCCTGCCTTCGGCCCGGGGGGCGTAGAAACCACAGGCGAATGTCACCTGGAAGAGATTGGAAGAGAACTCTGCGCGACTTCAGCTGCCGTGGAGGCCAACCCAAACAAAACAAATACATAGCGATCTAGTGTATATTCTGAGGCATACTAGATATTCAGTTGAACGTCAACATGTACCATAAATATGTATATAACATACATGTGCAATATATATAATATATATATATATATCTTTGTTGAGGCGGCAGCATTGTTTCCCTTCAATGGAATTGTTCAGTCTCCAATCACTGGTTGACAAGGGTCATGTGGGAAGTTACAAACAATCTGACCCACGCAATAGAGGGGAATAGCAGATTTAGATCTGGGCCATCTATCTAGGGTTTCGACAGGGGTGATGAAGGGTCCTTTCAGCCCTCCCTGCGAGCGGCGCATTGATTCCACTGCGGTTCCTAGACTTCCCCTTTTAGGTGACGTTTAGCCTCGGGTAGAAATGTGTGTGTGTGTGGGTTCCCGTAACCTTTTCAGGTTGGTTTAAATTGGAAACCAACAGGAACTTAAAACCACAACTTGTAAGGCCCGCCCCCTTATTTGAGACATACTAATCATCGAATCATCATTGGCAAGTGCAGGGTGAAGCTTCTGCAGGCAATTGCGCCCCCCAACCTTGGTGTCGACGCATTTGAAGAAGCTTTGGCACCCTTGCCACGGAGAATCTCCAAATGGTAGACCGTCTACGGTAGATGCGTTTTAAAGGAAAAACCACAGGTCTTGGTTGACGTTGAAAGGGGAGCAAACAAATATCATGTTCGCAGTTAAGTGGTTGGATTCCAACCACTAAACCACAATAATATCAAACATGTAAAAATGGGATTTCATCCAAAAATGGGATTTCATCCAACCCAACAATGTAAAATGCTTCCCAACAACAACCATGAGCTAAGCAAAGCCGCATGGCGAGGAAAACCAAGAGGAAGCCCCTTGGAAGAAGCCGAAGAACCCAAATCCCCAGTGGCCATGGGGGAAACAAAAAACACGCTGGCCCTAGCTCGGTCTTATTGAGGAACCTGGACCCTCAAACTACCCGTTAAAAATAACGGCCATTGCCCCCAAGACGGGGCGATGTCCCTTAAATTCTTAAAGTCGCTTGAGGGTCCAGGTACTTGACTTCAAGGAAAAAACCGCTCCAAAACCGAGTTGAGAGAAGGACCGCCGCCCATGCGCAGAAAAACGCAAAACCGAGTTGAGAGAAGGACCGCCGCCCATGCGCAGAAAAACGCCGAGCCCACTTCCGCCGTCGCCTGCGCCGGGAAGTCGGTGCCGGTGATCTGAAGCTCCAAGTCTGTTCCCAAGGTCCAGATGCTCGGCGTCTGGCGAGGACTTTAGCTGGGGGAACCCCAGACCTGGGTGTGGACCCGAAGGAACTAGCCCGAAAAAGGGGAAATCACCCACCATAGGTTTGGGGCAATGACCTATTTTTGTTCATGGTTTGTTAGAGGGTCCAGGTGAATGTGAATGGATCCGTTGGTGGACATCAGACTTTGGTGCGGAAAACATTCACCAACTTTGGAGGTGGTTCCCCGATGAAATTCATGAACAGCTCACTTCCTGAGTGGACAATCCAAACAATGTCCAAACTTTTGAATTACCACTAAAATGGTCTTCCCTAAAAGTTTAAAGTCCATGAACTCAGGGAGTGAGGGAAGCGGGATGGCTCGGCAAGCGCCTCTTGATTAATTCGGGTCAGAAGCACAGGTGTCCTTGTGGTAAAATAGATGTTTCACTGGTAAGGGCATGAACCTATCTAAACAGTGGACCTCATGTATTTCTATCCAAACTAACCCTCCATTTGCTTAAGTCCCCAGGAACAAACAAACGTTGCTCTTTCTTTTTTTGTGGAGATAGATTCCCTTTAAAACCAACAGGGGAAAAATTATGAAAATTGTCTTCAACAAAAAAGGAAGTCGCCTACAAAGGATGGAGACTAGGTCCGCCAGCAGAGAGGTTAGAATAAGGGTACCAACTTGTTTTCTGTAGTTCATTTTACTAGGGGAACCCCTCCCAACCAAAAAAGGGGGAGAGAGTTTGGGCACCAATTGCTGGGGGGACCTAGGAGACCTACAGTGGATGGACAAAATCCATTTCGCACCACCTAAGAAACCCTGGTGTCTAATGATTCTCCTGTAAATACTCGCAAATAATGGTTTCTCATGGTTTCAAAGTGGTGCAGAATTTCGTCCATCCGCAGTACGGTTAGACCTACCTGCCGTTCGATTCTTCGATCCGCGCCGTGTGGGTCACCACAGGTGGCGCGAGGATCTGCACTGGTTGGCCTGGCGTAGGGATCTGGCATCCCAATTTGGAGTGGGGGGTTCTTGGGCTGTCCGTTTTTCAGATCCGCGAAAAGTGACTCACTTTCAGTGGGTTAAATGGACATCCCATTTGGATGGTTTGGTTTGGTTTGGTGGTTTGGATGTCGGGGTACCTTCCCCATTTGGCTTCAAAAAGACGTGGGGTTCCAATTCCCAACCACCAATCCAAACCATCAATTAAAGGGGACCTGAAAAAAAGGCAAACATCTGCATGAAACGGTTTTTAGCGGGGTGGCAATTCCCGTGTCTGGTTCCTATCGTATAATGGGGCCGGGCTCGACATGTTTTGGAGGTTGGGGGTCTGCTGTTGCTTTAAACGTTTAAAATGGGTCGTTCAAAAAACTAGATCTCCAATCCGCAATGCACAGCGGGACACCACAGCAAGGTAAGCCACTACCACATGGCATAAGAAGGATGTATTGGGTGGGTGAATTGGCCCTCTGGACAAGCAAATTCTAAAGGACCCAAAACCAATTGCGCACGCTTTGAGGGTCCCAAGACACACCACCCCATTTTGATGGAGGGGTTTCCCCACGTAAACCTGTCAAACGATCTTGCCACCATAGTGGTCATGGGACATGTTGGTGCGTTTTGCTCTTTTATTGGGGTCCAATCTGAAAGCAAGTCCAACAATGCTGATACCGTAATGAACATGGGACAACTCGAGAGACCTCATGTCCCTTCCAAATTGAATATGAAGTACTGAATGTTTTAAGCAAGCGTGGTCATGGCCATTGCAATTTAACTATCGGAAAGAGGTAACCGAGGTGAAGTGCAAGATCTCATCGGTGCAAACGGGCAAAGGATCCAACGACTGGGGCAGAAGCCCCACTACCATCTGCTGGACAAATGGAAATGCAAAGGCAATTTCAGAAAGGTGTCCGGTAGTTTTCTTTGCGAGATCGCTTTTCCTTTGGCGGGAAAAGGTTTACGGGTGTTTGGTTCCAACAAAGATCAGCGAAGATTGGAGTTCGTGAACCAAGTCTGGGCCGTCCTCAGATCCCCTGCAAAAACTCTAACGTGTCGTGGGTTAAATGCGAACCCAACCACCAAACCAACTAAAAAAATAAAAACCTACGGGGATGGCTAGGAAACACTGGCACTGAGAAAGGCCCTTCTTTCACATGGCCACAATCCGTGCGAAAAAGCAACAACAGCATGCTGCATGCTGATTCCATAGGTATTTTTGGTAAAATAGATGGCCCTGATGAATTGAATAAAACTAATCTAACCAAACTAACCTGAAAGGACACCTATGGATGATACTCTGACTGGTGATAGCGCTTCCGCCCGTTGCATTGAAATCAAGATACGGTCACCTAAACTGCCCCCCAAGAACAAGGTCTACAACAGTTTCGCGAGTACTTGGAAGTTTGGCCAAGTTAGCAAGTGGTTAGCCAATTGGGGTATCCCTTATAATAAGGTTCACTTCACTTGTAGCCTAGGCTATCAACAACTTCCGAACTTGGCGAATCGAACACCCAAGTAGTCACTAAGTAGTCACTGTCCAGACAGCAAAAGGTTACTTCGGTCACACCCGTTGGCTCGGACATAGGCTGGGGCCAGATTGTCGCTGAGCCGAATTGGCGGACATCGAGTCCCTGGCTTCCCCGTTGATTTCGCTGGTCTCATGTACAGATCTTGTTCTTTCCAACCCTGGTACTTGGTATGGTGGCAAAAACGAATGAGTCTTTTGTGCAGCCCCTTACTAGGCATGAACAGAACCAACCAACCTCAAACCATGAAAACATGCCAACGCCAGTGCCGTGTGACAACCGGTTCCTTGGTTTCCCTTCAAAAGGAGTGGCTCAAAGACCGGCCAGACGGCCGTATTGCCTTCCATCTTGCAAGGGGGGAAGGAAATGTTCAAGGAACCGGCCCGGAATGTCCGTTCAGCAAAAACAGGCACGAGTGGGTGCTCCTTGTTTTGTGGTGTGTTTGTTTTTTCTTCTTTGGACACCGAAGGACAAACCACCATATTTATTATTTTTGTGCGGGGGGTTTCCCTAAAAAAGACACGCCCCAGTATCGACACACAAGAGAGCACTTGCAAAAGTGGCACTGATGGGGGTAATTAGGTGCCACCCAACAAAATGCATTGGTTTGGAACAAAGAAAGTATGTCGTGGTTTCCCTGTGCCCCGTGAGATTTCAATCAGGGTGCTCATTAAGGTCTGTAATTTGTTGCATTGATTCCTTTGCGCATCGCCTAAAGGAAACTTCCCAACAAGTGCCTAAACCACCCAACCATGGACATGCAAGGACCCCATGTCATCCCTTGTCAACTTGTAGGTGTGGGCAAATGGAACAATTTCGTCTTGAAGCCTGCTTCAAGAGGCAACTCGGTATCTTACGAGACTGAGTTGCACCGGGGCACGGCCTAGTACATCGCTGATGGTCGATTTGCCATCCAGCGTGATGGAGACATTCATCGAGTCCTCATTGCGAAAACCCGATGGACACATCAAACTACCAGGTGGACATATGGGTTTGTCTCAAACCCGCAAAATGGGTGGCTTCCTTTTGGTGTCCCTTCAACAGCAGCCTGAAGAGGGTAGCCTCAAAAATGACACCCATATCAAGGCAATGCTCCAAAAGGAAAAACATGCAATCTTAACATATCTTAATAGGGTACTTAAACAAAGCAACTTGCGCAGTGTGAAGTCCGAGCGGGACTGTACATGGTGATGTCACCGTAAGCGTTTTCAAAGCCAATCACGGATGCACGGAGTTTCATCATGTATCAAGGAGGGACTGAGCCGGTCAGTCTATAAGTCCGCATTTGAATAGCATTAAAGCCACCTGTGGCCAAATCTTCCTGCCCTTCTTGCCTTGGCATCTTCCCGACGATGACATGGGGCAAATTAAAGGTGCACGTCAAATGTCTCAGTATTCTGGGACAAGCTTGGCTTTGCAGCGCCTGGAGAATTAGAAAACTCACTGTGCGAAAACACTTGCTCGCCAGCCCAACCAGTCAACTCCCCGGCCAACTGCCCCAAGATTGCGCTGGAACCCCAAAATAGCAATGCTTACACCCAACAAAATGAATCGTCGAGGCAGCCACTTGTGAAGAACTTGCGCTTTAGGGCTCCTTTTGTAACGCTCCATGTGTCTTGGGCCTCGTGATTCCATGTTTATACCTTTGTAGATGGTAGGGCAGCCCTGGAAAAAAAAAAATGGACCTCTCACCCCGTTTGCTTGGGACAATAACCCATTGTGTGGGTTGTTTCAGGGTCGAGGAACGTGGAAAGTTGTTGGTTACCAATAACTAGGATCTATCCGGGAAGTGGCTGGTTCCCTACTTACCGCCAAGTGAGCGGACTTATGAGTGGGTTGTAACCTAGGCTACCAACAACTTGCTCACTTGGCCGTTCAGCCAAGTAGGCCTGGGAACCCACCCTGTAAAAGATTGCAACTACAAACGCCCTTTCAACGAACAACTTGTGGTCTGGTGAGTAGATTTCAGGGAAGTTCCAGGACGTTCCGGGGGCTGTTGCACCCACGCGCCCCAGGCGCCGGCCGCGTCGACCGCGTCTGAGGCGGCTCTTTCTGAGGTCTCCGGCGCCGGAGCTTGCGGCCACTGCGGGGCAGGGACCTTGAAGCTATATGCACCAGCCAGACACTCCCCTGGCTCGCCACCACCATAGGTGGCCTGTGGGCAGAAGCGATCGGTGTCCCTAGCAAATGGAATAAACCTCATCGAAACCAGCGCCATCAATGTTTAAACAAACTAAGCTAAACTCGGCAACTGTGACAAAGACAGTCTCCGAATGTGGCACATAGTGTATTGCCTACATGGAGTATGTGCCATAGTAGGTAATCAGGGATCCTTAGCCCCACCAGAAGTTTTGACGGACCGTATGTCGCAGTTTCCGTGCTTCATCCCCATGAGATCCGCGCAAACCACCCGCATGGTCTCGTTCCAGGAGTAGATCGTGGCCTGCGCGCGGCTGAGTTGGCAGAATATCCGCTTTAGAAGAAACCCGAGAGTCCGAGAGGAGGCATAGGTGATCTTTTGGAAAGGTACATACTGCCATCATGCCAAATGCCGGTTCATTCACCATGTTGGGTTGTCTGTTCATTGGGCAACCCTCTTTTGCTTGGGCTTGAAGGAAACCAAAAGAAAGAAACGCATGGGGCGACCGAGCCTTGCAGGTGCTTTCTATGCGTTTCGATGGCAAACGTACGACAAGAACTCTGCCTCAATCAAAGGAATGCAGCAGGGGCCTCCACGTGCTCGTTCTCTCGAGAGCTGGCAAATTTGGGTTTGGCTTTTGTTGAAGGTACCCTTTTCACCTTTTGCAGAGAAGCCAACATGCAAACCAGCATTTCCGGGTCCAAATCCTGTTTTGACGCCTACTTGGTTGCCGTTGGCCTCTCTGCAAAAAGCTCAACTTTTGGTGGGTTCAATGGAAAACCAATTTGATTTCCCCAAAGGTTAAAGCCTCAAGATCCAAGCCAATGGATCCCAGTAGGATTCAATTCAAGCGTACGCAGCTTCCCCGCAGCCCCACTCTGGGCTCCAAGATCCGGCCTCAGCGTCGAAGACCCGCATCGGGGGCCCAGCCTCAAAATCTGTTTCACCGCGGGAAGGAACGTCATAAATACTCAACACCTGGTATTCTGGGCCCATGTTCAGATCCGCTAAAAGTGGCTCATTTTTAGTGGGCTAAATGGAAACCCAACCACTAAACACTAAAAGGCGAAAAAGCTAAGGGGATGGCTCATTTAAACCTCCGTTTACTTAAGTTTTCTGGGAACAATTGCGATTTCCAGTAGTCATTCATTCTCTTTAAGCCGAAAAAAGGAAATCAACCATACTGCTTAGCTCATTGGTAGGCAGTGGGAAGGATCTCCTTCGCGCACAAACTCTTCACAATACCCTTGGTGGGCGTATTGGCACAGTGGCCGTCGTGGCCAGCTGACTTGTCGTCGGTCATGTCCGCGATGCTGCGCATAGACAATTCAGCGGCACTGCTTTTCATTGTCGGGTACTTGCCTCCCCACATGGTGGGCAGGGTGTCGAACGCCAGGCAACAGTAAAGGCGCGTCTGCCGAGCAAAAAAAACGCTTCACGCCTTGCTCCGTTCTCAAGCTTTGCGACACGTACGCTCGGAGACACTTCATGCCAGCAACGATGGATGTCTTTTATGTGGCAACAAGCACCGCCAGCCAGCAAGCAGTGCAGCCAGGCCCAAGGAACCCATATTCTCATGCGAATGGAAGTACAAATGTCTAGATGTTCTACCCAAAGCCCATGGCAAAGAGCTCCAAAAGCCCATCTATTTGGATCATCTTAAGCTTCACTTCTGCTGCCTCGGATCCCTTGTCTTGGATCGGCCGACCCCGAACTCGTTTTTTTTGAGAACCGCTGCAAATCCGAATCAACCCCATGTCCTCGTGTTTTTTCGTTTTTCCTTCCACCGGGGTCACCGGGGTCACCGGCACCCAACTTCTTCTGCTTTTTCCCATGTCCAAATTCCCTTATAAGTCCAAAAAGCAGTGCTTGGGGGGTGCTGGCAGGTGTCCTGCCGCAAAAGCAGACGCTCGTAAATGAATCGAAAAAATAAACCAGAGCAATCTAGTCTTCACCAATCCAGGAGAAATCTGTGGGCCCTGGTGATCCTTAATTTGTCCCACTTGCATACCCCTTATATTGGCAATATAATGAGTCTCAGCTTTGCCTATCGTGCCTATATAATTGATTCTTAATGGATGTGTGAGGATATGCAAGTGCGACAAATTGAGGGTCCATTCACGAGGGCCCATTGTTTTGCCTATTACCCACTACACAATCATCCTCCCGCCCGGAGAACTGCCTTGCAAAAATGGCCCAAAAGGTGAAATCTAAAACAAGCAATGGAGGGAATATGGTGACTCCTCGGAAATCATTTCATCCAAATATCATAGTATTGACAAATTCGCCTCGGCCCCAAAGGGGCCAAGGGCGCTCAGATCTCTTCTCCAAACAGAATCTTCGCTTTTCCCAAAATTTTGCAACCCCCCCCACCCATGTCGGCTGGCCCAAAATCCTGTCCGGCCAGCCCAACCAGCAACCCGCCTGCTGCCCAGGCCTGTCAGCCCAGCCCACCCAGCCTCAGGCCCAAGCTTGTCTGAAACAGGAACCAGCAACCCGCCCAAGCACGGCCCAAGTCATCCAGCAAGCCCAGCCCAGCCCAGGCACTAGGCCGGCCCCCAGCTCCCAGCCCACCAGCAGGCTCAGCCCAGCGTGCCAAGGTCAGGTTTGTCTACGTGTGTCTGAGACTGGTCTCAAGCTACGCCAGCTACTAAGCCTGTCTGACGTGCCCCAGCCCCGGAGTCTGAAACTGGTCTCAAAGTATGCCAGCCTGAGACTAGCCTCAGGCCCAGTCCCTCAGCCCGCCTGCTGGCGTGTCTTACGTGTCTGCGACTGGCCTCAGGCCCAGCCCAGCCAGCAACTCGCCACCCAGCCTCAGGCCCAAGTGTGTATGAAACAGGCCTTGCCCATCCAGCAACCCGCCCAAGCACAGCTCAGCCCAGCCCGCCCGCAACCAGCTGCCCGGCAGCCAGCAACCCACCCATGGCTTCGCAGCCTCGTGGCGCCCAGCCCAACCAGCAACCCACCTCAGCCGGCCGCAGCTCCCCAGCAGGCTCAGCGCCTGTCTGACGTGCCCCAGCAGTCCGGCTGCCCAAGCAGCTCAGCCCAGGCTGACCAGGCCTTGACCTCCTGCTCGTGTCTGGCCCCAAGTCATCCAGCAGGCCCAGCCCCTTCGGCGTCTCAAGGTATGCCAGCCTGAGACTAGCCTCAGGCCCAGTCCCTCAGCCCGCCTGCTGGCGTGTCTATTCAGGATATTTTTCCGGGGTACTTAAGTAAATGGAGGTTTGTATTCCCACCATGTACCTGTCTTGGGCTGAGCAACCGAGCAAGAAATGTATGTCATGGCAAGCCGCCAGCCACGTGAAATGGAGGTGCCCAAACACCCAAAGTTGGTCTTGGTTGTTCAGTGACACCAATTATTGTCCCCCTTTTTATGGAGGCCAAGCCCCACTAAAAATGCTCATCCCCAGAAAGAGGTCCTTTTTTTCCAAGGGCACTGAGCAGCTGAGATAGTCTTGGTGTTGGATTTCAAACCTTCCGAGCAGGACGGCTTCCGAACATCGAACTAGCACGGGCGAACTGGTGCGGTCACAAGCTTTCAGTAGGATTCGGACCTTCCCAACACTGGATTTCGGTGTTCCTGACCCTTCCCTCAAACTAGGCTGGGCCGAGGCGGGCAACGCGAAGCGTTTACAATTATCTTTTTTCGGCTCCTCCAGCATGTTGCACAGCGACTCTGCTTGTTCAAGCAGAAACAACTAGAAGTGTACCTTCAAGTTAATCTAGGTGAGGTTATCGGCTGTCTATGCAGCCTTTCAGGGGCTGCAAGACCAGCCTCTTTTTAAATAGTGGGCTCCAATGCTCAATGCCCAAAACAGGGATCCTTACATTATACACCTGAACATTGCCTTGTCAATGGTGGTGTCCCTTTGTTTTGGTGGAAAAAGCCATGTTTCAAATGGGCAAAATGTATCTTTTAAGGAGCCCTGCCAAACCTCAAATGGTGCTGCCTCTATCCCAACCACGCTTTCCAGGAGCTCCATGGTCGAGAATCCTTCTCTGGACTGTTCCCAGATTCCCTGATGAACGAATAACCTTTGGCGGCTTACCATTAAAAAAAAAACCTAGAAACTAAAAAATAATAAAGAAAAAGGGGATGGCTGGGAACCACCAAGTTCTGTATGTGGGCGAAGGTGATCATTCATTCTAGTAGCTTGTAATTCTATAAGGTTTCCTACTACAGCCTCCACAACGCTTCTTCATAAGCTCGAGTGTACAGGCCTTTTGACCACAACATGTGCCAGCATGTCTTTACAACAAGTCCGCCAGAAACAATTGCAATGCTTGCAAGGATATGGCTACCCTCATAGGGATCTTCCTGCGCAACCAAAGCAGCAGGTCACGGTTCCTAGTTTTCCACAGGGTGAGCAAGCTAAGATCAACTGCGCAGTAAATGCGGTGAATCAGGTTCAGCAGCCTCAAGCAACCAGAAGTCAGAAGAGAGCATGCCAAAAACGAGCCACCGACTCGTCCCTTCTTGCAAGCCCCTGACCAGAACCTGGCTTTTTGTGCTGTTGCGAGGTGCACAAAGCGCTCCTTCCTGAAAACTCGGGCTGTCAGACAGTTTCAACTCATCTGCGTTCATCGGCCTAGTCAGTCCCTTCAAGCCGGGGCGCGGCTGTGAACAAGCACAGCGCCCGGTACACAGAGTACTGCCACTGCAAGAACTGCGCCTGCAAATTCAAGTCGGCGCGCGTTGCCGCAAAAAAGAACAGAACATGTTTAAGACTTGTCCAGTTGGCTGTGCCCAAAGTAGTAATTGGATTGCATGAGTATGGCCTACGTATCCGTCAGACGACGCCCAACTGAAACAAACACTTAGCATATATTCGCACGCACCCGTACACACCCGCAGCAACACCCAAACACACTTGCGCTCTCGCATGTGCATTGCACCAAGCACACATGCAAAGACACACAGACACACAGAAGCGCAAACACACAGAGACACACAGCACACCCAAACACAAACACACAAACACAAAAACACACAAGCACACAAAACACAAACATAGAATCCCGTACACAGACACAGACACACACAGAGATACACAGAGACACACAGAGACATACACACAGAATCATACGGACACAAATGAACAGACACAAGCAGAGAGACACACACACACAGACACACACAACCACATACAGACACACGCAGAGACACAAAGACACTCACACAAGCACAAAGAAATGGAGTCACAGACACAGACACACACACACACAAAGGAAAACACTCGACACACACATACAGACACGCACGCAGAAAAGAAACACAAACCACACGAACCACACAACTACACAAACCACACAAACACATAAACCACACAAACGCACAAACCACACAAACACACACACACACACAGACACACAGACACACAGACACACAGACACACAGACACACAGACACACAGACACACAGACACACAGACACACAGACACACAGACACACAGACACACAGACACACAGACACACAGACACACAGACACACAGACACACAGACACACAGACACACAGACACACAGACACACAGACACACAGACACACAGACACACAGACACACACACAGACACACAGACACACACACACTCACACACACACAACCACACACACACACACAGCGTGCGTGCAAACCACACGCCTAATGCCAGCTCACAATCCCCCCATAATTCCAAACATCCCAAGCAAGCAGCAACAGCTACGGAAACAACAAAAATCATGTTCTTAGAAATGTTGTTGGACGTTGTCCTGTAGATTCCGTGCTGATTCAGTGATGTTCAGACAACCCTCCAATGGGACACCGGCACAAACTTCAGATGGCGGCGGGCCGCGCTGCGTACGATGGCGCATGACTTTCCAACCCTTGGTATGGTACCAAATAACGTTCTTTTTTGCAGCCCCCCCATAAAAATGAACGGAACCAAGACACCAAACACATGCCAACAACAGTAACAGTGAAGATGAGAATCAGAACAAAGGCAAGGAATCCCAGAGTTTGCAACCACGAGGGGTAGGAGGTCGCCTTTCAGTGATGTTTTGGTGTTTCACTTCCGATCGAGTGGACAAGGCCGAAATCCGTCAGCGGTTTTACCACCCGAATAATTTGTCTCCCCCCCAAAAAAAAGAAGTGCAAGAGCTTAGGGAGTGATTCTCCTAGTAGCATCTGGCCTGTGCTCGGGGTGATTTTCCAGTTCCGCTTGTGGTTGCCGACGTGTCAAGTGTCGAGCTTCCGGAACGAGGATTGCCGGGCCATTAGTTTCATCAAACCTCTGTCCATTGCTCCCATCCCGGTCATGATCCTTTCTCTCAAAACTCAAAACAAGCGACGATGGACATATACTCACTTGCCCGAAGGGCCTGCAATAAAAGTTAGTCTTGGGAACCTTGACTGGAAAGGGTAAGAAACAGAACTGTCTGCTGTGAACAACTGAGTCAAATATTGGCAAATGGAAGCTGTTGCTGTGAACAAAGCGCCGCCCAAAACGCCTCTGTTCTTGCGCGGGCCTCGCGCGCATAGAGCACAACGCTGTCGCCCCCTCCAGCAAAGCAAGCGGACTCCTGGCAAAACCCCCGGTGCAGAACTCCCCAACTACGAAGTTCAGAAAAGGCTTCGCCTGGTCGCTGCAGCACAGCCAACGTGTCTCAAAACCTTCGCGCTGCTTTGCTGCGATATGCTGCGATGGCAGCTTTACATGTGGAGGTATTACATGGACCTCACTTGCCCAGAGGACCTGGAAATAAAGGGTTCAGCCTTTGAGGCCATAAGATGCGGATGCCAAAACGGGGAAACCGAAAGCTCAGATCCGGACGATTCGCTTTGGGCAACTCGGATTATTTGGAGCAAGTCGCCTTGACCAGATCGAACATGATCATGCGTTCTTCCCTTCAGATGGGAGTGGGTTTGCCCCCATGCCGCATATTTGGGTGGCAAGATGCGCGGATTCCAAGCCGGCATGCAAACGTGAAATTGAAGGGGCCGCTGCTCAGAGCAAAAAAAGGAACAAAGAGTCGCTAGTTGAGCACAAACCCTCCAACCTGCCAAAGTCTGTGACAGAAACCCTGCAGGCATTTTTCAGGACCACCGGAACATGAAAATCCACCCGCAGCACACGTCAAGTCCAGCCTCGCGTAGAGAAAATACCCACCTCAGTGCCCAGTTTGCAAATACAGGAAGACATGGCAGTGGCTCAAAATTAAAGAGCTAGGGTTATGCAGGTTTGGGTCCCTGTTTCCACTTACCAGGGCAACCCATTTTGGAATTCCGGCTTTCTAAGCCATACACATGTTGGTGCATGCTGCCAGCCACCCTACTTGGACTCTGCGGTCCTCAAATCCCCCGTTTTCCAGTTTACCTTTGAGTGGGTGAAATGGACACCCAACCACTAAACCGACTAAAAACAACGAACAGCCTAAGTTGAACCGGATGGCCGGTTGAACCACCAAGTCTTCTTCAAAGAAACGCTACCAATCCTGTCGGCATTGAGCGCCAGGCTTCGGATAGAAGGTGAAGTCTACGGAGGTCACCGAGAGCCTCGGTGAAATTCTCTGGGCCGCGGTTTGGTGGGTGGCCGTCTTTGCTTTTGTTATCACCCAAACGTGAGCAACAAGGAAAGCAAACACCAACAGGAGCCTGGTTGGTCAGCGGAAACCTATGTCTTCAAGATCTGTCCACTTACCAGCAAGCTTCCGGTTCATACAGACAGTTTGTTGGTGAATGCTTGAAACCACTTTGAGTAGTGAGAGGGTTTTGGTACGCGCGCAACTCAAGAATCCAACCCGTGGGATGGAAAGGTGTCTTGAGACCTGACTACCCAACGACCCTTCCAGCCATCTTTTCTGGGTTCAAAACTGATTCCCACAGCACCCCAAGTTCGCCCACTAGCCGCAAGGGGCCCGAGATTTTGCGAGGTTTTGAGACCAAAGGGTCAGAAAGTGTAACAGGTGACAGGGGCGACACTTTCTGCCTCCTCAAAACTGCCCCCTTCTACACAGCCTCGCTTGCCGTAGATGTTCTGTACTCGAGCTACCCCCCTGTTCCAGGCTTGGGTGTGGGTTAAGACCTTGTTCGAGGGCCAGGGCTGCTGTGATTCGCTGCTCCCCTGCTAAAAGTGACTCACTTTGAGTGCTTAATGGAAAACCCATTAGTTGGCAATAGTTAAAGTCCGAACATCCAAGCATGCACCAAAGTAATGTTGACCCGGGATTGATAAGCCCCAGCTTATCAATACGGGCTGCTGTCTCTGGGTTTAGGATTCATCACTTGCAGGGGGGCACCCCCACATTAATAGACTGGCTTGCTTAATCTTGATGCAACTTTCCGCCAACCAGCGAGTACACTGTTAAAGCGCACAGATGCTTCAACTGTGAGATCCGGCTCGCAGTGAGTGCGCTTCTCCCACTGACCTGCTACGATTCCACCCCCAGCTCAGCACTTCTCCGGGGCTTTGTTCTCTGTAATAACCCACCGGGAGCTGATTCATCAAGGCTGAAACCGACCAAAGAGCCATGTAAGTCAGCGTGTGAATCGGATTTTGCGCTGATACGATTCCCGTGCCCAAAGCCTAGGAGTTGGATGCAGACTGAAAGAGGTGGACAGGTGATGACAGGTGCAGAGCAAGTAGCTAGTGATGGATGACGCCAGCCAATGCAATCTGGTGCATACGTGCAGCTATGTTTATGGACATCTGAAAATCTCAAACTCCAGCGATGCTAGATGATGAAAAATCAACCGTACACTGAAACACATTGAAACTCAAATCAACAGCTCAAACGGAAGCTCCAGCAATACACAATTGAATAGAAACTCAAAACTGAAATGCATCAAGTTTAAAATAAAATTGCCCAATATTCAAGTGGTGAAACAAACCCAAGAGGCTACCCCCGGCCCCCCAAAACAACAACAAAAACAACACATGCCCATCTATGTCTTTGCAGTTGCCGTTGCCAAGTTATCTTCCATTTGAACCGAGAAATGTAGGCACCCTTCGCTGGATGCCGGACATACTGCAACTAAACCAACCACACTCAACAGCAAAACCATGGTTGAACCCTTGTTCCGTTACTTGCAACACGGCGAACGGGGCATTACCATGAACAAGCCGGGTCTTGCCATCCGAGTCGGAGCCTTATCGACGGCCGAGGCGTCGGCTCATGGAGCCAACTGGCCACCTTCAGCTTTGCAACTCCTGCCGTCGAACCCATTCGAGCGCAATAACATGGGCAGACAGCACACAGTCATCTATGTACACATGTGTATGTATACAATATAATATATATATATATATACACTGTAAAGATGCACAGGAAATCCGCAAGGGGCGTGCAGACGTGTCACCAGGGTTTGCCTCTGATTGAACACAAGGCTGGAGGTTTACGCAGTGTAGAAGCCCTCTTGACATCCCCAACATGGGAGCCAAACAGCCAAATGGGTGTGCCTATGTCCCGCTTTCCAGTTAAACCAACCAACACGGGTTGCCCTCCAAACATCGGCACGCCCAAATCCTGTACACTGCCCACGGGCTTTCGCCGCTATGCGCATCAGGACCCCAGTCCTGCAGGATGGTATGCTGGTGTTGTACCTCGCATCACGTGACGCGGTGCCACCCAACCACTCCCACCACTGCTTGGATACGTGGGATTTGGAAAACGATCCGTTTGTTTTGGGGGGGTGCTTTCATTTGAGAGGGAACCTGAACATACCAAGTACTTAGAGGAACCGCTCAAAGTAAGCGACAAAGCCATAACGTGCTTCATGGATAGCCCACGTGTGAAGTGAACTTGGCAGCAGCGTGCAATATCAGCGGAGGTCGAAACCAAGCAGAATGGATGGCCAAGAAGATTCACATGGGCCCGTTCCACAACCTTCTGGCCAACATACAATACACGCGTTCACACATCTGAAAACACGAGCTCACACAAAGACAACACAGGGTTTAACAAGAACCGTGGAGAACCCTCGTAACCTTGCACCCTGGTATCGGTTGGTATTGGATCTTCTGTCCTCTGTATGGTTTGGAACGTCTGGGCAGCCGCAGGTCTCGGCAGCTCAGCAAAGTCGCAACCTTTGAGTGCACGTGCGGCGTGCAAAATACACTTTGACAAATCCATATTGCAACTGTTCATGGCTTCTACAGGTATCAGTATCTGTGCCCTCAGTATCGGCCTACAGTGCTCCCGGCCTGCAACGAGAGTTGAGGGACGAGCCCTTACAGAACAAAAAGGCTCGGGGCTTCTTTTTGACCCACATAGACCCATGCAGACACAGATACAGACACAGACAGACAGACAGACAGACAGACAGACAGACAGACAGACAGACAGACAGACAGACAGACAGACAGACAGACAGACAGACAGACAGACAGACAGACAGACAGACAGACAGACAGACAGACAGACAGACAGACAGACAGACAGACAGACAGACAGACAGACAGACAGACAGACAGACAGACAGACAGACAGACAGACAGACAGACAGACAGACAGACAGACAGACAGACAGACAGACAGACAGACAGACAGACAGACAGACAGACAGACAGACAGACAGACAGACAGACAGACAGACAGACAGACAGACAGACAGACAGACAGACAGACAGACAGACAGACAGACAGACAGACAGACAGACAGACAGACAGACAGACAGACAGACAGACAGACAGACAGACAGACAGACAGACAGACAGACAGACAGACAGACAGACAGACAGACAGACAGACAGACAGACAGACAGACAGACAGACAGACAGACAGACAGACAGACAGACAGACAGACAGACAGACAGACAGACACACAGACACACAGACACACAGACACACAGACAGATACAGACACACACACACACACAACCACCCACACACACACATACACAAACAAACACAGAACAGCACACAAACACATACACGCAAAGGCACAACACACACACACACACACACACGCAAAGGGACACACACACACACACGCAAGCACACACACACGCGAATACAACCAAGCAACAAGTTGAAACATCTACTGTAGCACAAAGGCACAAACATACCAATAGACAAACAAACACATACCACATCACGATGCAAAAGGGGGCACAGTAGATCAAGCTCTCGTTGAAGTAGCGGGCTGGCATGTAGAGATTGTCGTCCTTGGGCGAAGCCCCCCAAAGCGATGAGCGGGGGCACAGCTCTCTTGCGGGAGATCCCTGTTCCCCTCGACTTTGAATGTTTAGGGTGCAAGGTGCAGCAATCTTTCATTCTGGGCGGGGGCGGGGTCAACAAGCCCGGTTCCATTCAAATGTAAGGGCATCCAGTAAGACTCCATGGAGCAAACTCAGATCTGCGACCATCTCATCTGCAAAAAAGAAGCACTTGCGAACGTCAGGGATCAACTGAGCCAAACAAACAATTTGGAGAAGTAGAAACTTTTGCCTATAGCCTTCAAGGACCAGCCATGGATGACTTGCTGATTCGTCACTCTGCATCTCGGGGATTGATCTTCAATGTCCCAGGGATGCCCCCAGTGTCTGAGATCCCGGCAAATGCACAGGACCTGAGCCAGAAGAAACTTGCTGTGTGACTGCAACAGCAGCAAGCGAAGCCTGCCTTCAATGCTGAAGCGCAGTCACAACATGCGCACACACACACACACGCCTGCCAGTCAAAGCTTCTAGAAACAATGTTCCTAATTAGAACCAAACACATGACATGTCTTCTCTTGCAGTTACTGTAATGCGCAGCAAGCAATCCAACGGTTAAGGATCTGACAGTCGCCCCTGCTGCGTGAAGCCGTTTCCCATCACTGCGATGAGAGTGCCTTCGCATTCGTCGGCAGCTAGTCAGCTTACAGCCCCACCCTATATAGCCCCTAAACTTGTCCTAAATGGGGTTTCAAACACTTGCCTAGGAAAAAACAGAACAAGTATAGAACATTGGTAAACTATTATTGTTAGTTTACTTGTTAGTATAGAACTTGATAATTTACTTATTGTACCCATCTCCTTTTGGCTTCCCTTTTGGTAAACTAACAAGTATGGAACATTAGCACGTTGTCCGGGGGGCAAAGCGAGTGGGTGGGGATGTGGATCGGGATGCTTGCAAGATTCCCAAGTGTCGTGCCAGCAAACTTGCATTTGGGCCCGCCGAGATTTTCAGATGATTGAATCTGGTCCACATGGATATGTCTGTGTGTGTGTGTCAAAATACCACCCCAAAAAACAAACACACACACACACAAAACAACAAACAAACCACAACAATAACGGTTGTCCTTTTGGTTTCCCTATAGATCCACCTTCAAAAGGGTACCCTCCAAAAATACACACATGTTTCAGGGTTCTGGGACATCAAAAACCACCTGCTTTGAAAAGACTCAGATCATCTAAGTGAGCTGGTGTTGTTTTTTTCTTAACAGCCCCAAATGCATCCGTTAAGGGACTCTGTGTTTGGTAAAGCTGGAAGACCTTGTAACTCAACTCAGTTGCCCAATTGACCCAGAAATAAAAAGGTTCACCTTTTAGAACCTTGACTAAATATGGACCAAATCAGGGAAACCAAAAGCTGAAAGGTTAGAAGGTCGGTTCGGTTTGGGCAAGTAAGTCAAATGAAGTACCTGGACCCTCAAACTACCCATGAACAACGGAACTTACCCATTTGGTTGGGGGCAATTTCCTATTTTTGCGGGTAGTTTGGGGGTCCAGGTGAAATACTGCGGGCAACTACTTGGTTTCTTGGAAAGCACTATATCCCCCCCCCCTACCCCAAACAGCGGCTTCGCACTCAATCCGCGGAGTTTCGCCTCCCGTCACTGGGCCGGAGTCTGGTGTCACAGAGGAGATCCCCAGCCGCGGCAGCAGCCGCACCGGGAAGGACTCCTCCCGCTCGCGGAGATCGAGCGATCGAGTCGGCGCTGGGTCACAAGTGCAGTGCCCCTGTGGCTGTGACTGTTCGAGAGTCGGGTTTTCTGCAAACTAGTTGGACATACCCTCCTGTCCACGTTGCCATGGCTTGCCTGACGTTTCGGGGTCCAAGACGATGTTCCTTTAAAAGGAACCCTCTGGTGTTCCTTGTTAGAGGACTGGGGGAGGTAAATCGCCTAAAGTGATGTCCTAAAGCCACGAAAACCATGCCAAGGACCCAATTCAGAGAATGAGAAAATCCTGAGGTAAACAATGGTGGTCATGCTAACCCCACTGTTTTCACGGTGGATTGAATCCCAGAGCTGATATCTTTCTGGGTGCTACGTGGGGTGGTTTGGAATTGTTTAATTAACCAGACCGTTTGTTTCCACTCCATATGGGGATTTGTGTCAACCATGTCTGAGAAGCTTGTAGAATATCCATGGCCATTTTACCACTGAAGCCAACGCCCTGAACGGGCAACCCCAGCCCACCACATGGGCCAAGCCGTCCTCCACTGTAACGATGGGCTGCTCAAAGAGATCCGGGGACCACACAGCCTTGGCCCCAAGGACGCGGCTGAGAAGTTTCTCCTTATTCAACGGGTGAGTCTCTTTTCTCGGTTCCTTTCTGCTCCCCTGCGAGTTTCATGGAAAACCCCCTAGTTGGCAAACAGTTAACAGCAAGTCTTAATATCCAAGCAAAATGCGCCAAAGTTTTCATGAAGTGGGTGAGTGGAAGCCGGCATGTTTCAAACCTGGCCCAATCTCTCTAGTCACTTTCTGATTATGCTTCAGATTTAGTCTACCCCAAGAGAGAAGACATATTTTGGACGAGACCCCAGTAATGATGAATGCTTCACATGAGTGTCGGGAGTACCGACGCCAAGTTGGGGGGGTCGGATTCCAAAAAAAGACACACCCAAATAAATTTGTATTTGTGAGGGAACAATTTTTACCTCGGTTTGCGGGGAAGCCGCATGGAACACACGCTTTTTTGAGGCTAGACCTATTTGAGTGCCTTTTTTCATGACAACCACCATTTTGGGGTCCCTCTGCAAAAAAAAACACCCATTATACTGCGCTGCCCTCAGATCTCCCGCTAAAAGTTTAACTCTTAATTGGTTAAATGGAAACTGCCACTGAACACTAAAAGGCTGAAAAGCTCAGGAACCAGATGGCTGGGAGCCACCAAGTATAGCTCTTTTTTCGTGACAACCACCATTTTGGGCTAGACAAACAAACAAACTAGGTCCTCCAGTAGAGAGGTTAAAATAAGGGTACCCTTTTTTCTGTAGTCTATTTCAGTAGGGGAACCCTCCCAACCAAAAAAGGGGTGAGAAAGGGCACCTAGCTGGGGGACCCAGCACACCCATGATAGCGTTATAGACACGCCCAAACGGCTAAACGCTGGCGAATCCGTGTTTGTCCAGGCGGCCGTCAGCAGGAAGCCCCCGGTGGATCGCACCTGAACTCGAGCGCTGAACTGATTCATCAGATACTTTGCTCTCCTCGTTGAAATGGCCTATTCTGGTTATGGTCTCCATCTCAGCTTCACTGATTTTAGCACAAATTATCTCCCTCCATTTTGGTTGAGAGTGTTATTCTGACAGAAAAGCCCCTTGATTTATGTCTTTTGGACAAAGTGGCACCGCCGTGATGCTTGTACATGGGGTTATTCACCTAGGCCGTCCTCAGATGTAACTTTAGTGAGTTTAATGGAAACCCCCGTGCAAACACACTTTAACTACTAAGGGCATGGCTGGGACCAAGTAACCTACATCGCAGATGCCCAAAGGACCCAAAAACAAACCATGAACCAGCAAGCGGGAACTTAAAGGTCATAAGGTCGATTCGCTTTGGGCAGGTGAGTAAATGGGGGTGTATTTTTCCCCACAACCGCTGGAAGCTATGGGGTCGACTTGCCTGTCGGGTGGTTTGGGGCGGCTCCGAGTTAGGGTTCCGGAAGGGTTGCGGGGGATGTTGTTGGGGATGTCACCATAATGTGGAGTTGCCACCGGCCACCCAAACGGAGCTTGGTGGGTTTGTGACTTTGTAAATGGGGTTGACCATTGGGGCGCCAGGTTTGCGTCCGTAGTTCTGGCCCCATTATTTCACCGAGTGGTGGGATAAAGGGACACCACGAACCAATGTCTCACTTTGATAACCCCAGAAACTGACCCCAGTAGTGTGTAAGTGTAGGTTCTTTCGGTTGCTGGTGAAAAACTGGAAGCACAGGGCAAGGAGCGTCAAGCCAGCAGCCCCACCCAGGCACCTCCAAAAATATCAAGATTGCAGCCCCACCCAGCCCCACCCAGCCAGCAGCCCCACCCAGCCCCACCCCACCCAGGCACCGTTGCAACCAAAGCGAGCCGAAGATCTATGACCCAAGAAACAAAATGCACACAAGCTGTCAATGTGAAAGGGGCAGTTTGTGGGGTGTGTCTTTTCTTGAGGGCGCGTGTTTCGGGCACCCTTGTTTTGTGATCGTGTCATCACTAAGGAGATGACATTGGTTTTCCTCTTTAGAAGTGGGTGATGTCCCTAAAACGTCTTTCTACACCCCAAACAAACAAGGTATGTGTCAAACTACCGTGACTCAACTAAGTCCTCCAGTAGAGAGGTTAGAATAAGTTGGTACCCGATCTTTTTTTTGTAGTCTATTTTAATAGAGGAACCCTCAATAAAAGGATAAAAGGGCACTACTGGGGGACCTAGTCAAACTCAATGGCGGTTTCCCTCTTGAGTGGACCATCAATTCAGACCGCTTGCAGCCCGGCCTCCACCGTGGGGGATGCTTGTTGTGCCACGCATTTGAGGTACTCCACGCCTGCCTCGCGTTCCGCCCGAGGCAAGTTCACTTGCAACTAGTCATGGCCGAAAAAGCGATCACATTCTATTTCTGGGTCCGAACTGGACAACTGAGGGGTAGGACCCAAGAAGGTTTGACTCGATTTGCCAGCCCCCCTCCTTTGGAACCAAAACCGTACGGATCCATGTCGCCCTTTTTTTCGGCGACCCATGTTCCAAAATGGTGCGTTGTGGCTTTCCTGGTAGTTTTCCTAGTACCCCTTTTTCTGTAGTCTATTTGAGTAGGGGAACCCTCCCAACCAAAAAAGGGGTGAGAAAGGGCACCTAGCTGGGGGACCTAGTTTCCTCAACCACCGAACTTGGTTGCTGTTGACCCCCGCTGCAAAAAGTTTAACTTTTTGGGGGGTTAGTGGAAAGCACCTTTATTTCAACCAAAAAGTTAAAGTCTAAAGATCCAACCCAATAGCAGTCAAGCGAAGGCTCCACAGACGGTCACCCGGGGTGCCACAAGGAGTCGCCGGAGCGAAGCCAGGGGCTGGATGTTCTCCCTCAAAAGTTGCAGTTTCCTGGTTTCCAACTTGAAATCGCCACTTTTGGAGGTTCCAAAAAGAGGAAATGAAGGGATCCCTGTTGAATACCAGGCTGGACCCATTTTTGCTGGCTTTGATCGATGTGCCCTTGACGGCCCTAGGCACATGAAGCTTCAGGTCCAGACGGTCGCTCCAAAAAATTGCCTCGAAAATCAGCTGCTCCTGCTCCTGCTCCAATGCCACCTCCGCGCCCAAACGCGCCGAACAAAGCCGAACCAACCCCCCGGCGACACCCCGAAATTCTGAAAGGAACGAGGTTCTTTTGGTTTCCTTTACGACCCCAAAGCGCCCAAAGAAGGGTACCCTCAAAAACGAGTTACACACACATAGTTCCCCAAAAGAACATCGCAAAACCTGGAAGGAGTCTTCAAAGAGTCCAAATGGTGAGCTCTCAATTTTCAAATTCATCGAAGGGAAAGTATATTGTCGCATATGAACTCCTCCCGCTGATAGCTGGCAAATGCCCAGAAATCCTACCTGCTGGATCCATTGCGCACCTTGGAGGTTGCACATGGGTCTGCCTGAACATGGGTTTGCTCCACTTCCCGTCGTTCCCTTCTGGTCCAACTAAAAAAATGCCCCTCCACGGCACCGAGTTCACACAATCTAGAGAATGACGTAACATTTCAGCAAAAGCAGCTGCCAAGACGATGCAAGACTCACATCGTGCAGGACTGTGCCAAAAAACCCTGGGAGACTTGAAAAGTGAACTATCATTCACCCACATCCACATATATTTTATAGGGGAAGGGGGCGTTTTGAATTCAGAGATGGATCTGCTTTCAGATAGTAGCGTAAGGGAAACCACACAGAGAGGCTTGAGGAAACACCAGGAAAAGGAAAGCCAGTCTCGCTTGTCTTTGGCCATGGGCACAAGCACACCCCTCCTTGGCGTATCATAGCCGCCCATTGAAAACGCATGAAACAAACACGACCAAAGCCCCCTGAAAGTGATGCCCACCAGCATGTTAATGATTGTGTTACATAACTCTTTCTCTAGGCCCATGGAGGCAGGTGTTGGAGAATGGCTAATTTCGTATGACCAACAGGGATTTCCGGCGCTGCTATCCATGCACCGACTCTTGGGCTGACCATATGGCTCTCGGGCGAGAGGGGCCAAACCGGAGTCGGCGCAAGTGAGCGTCGAAAACCCCCTTCTGCAATTCCATTCGGCTGTGGCTCAAAACACCGGTACCAAAGTGGAACCCTGGTAAGTGGAAAAATGGGCCAAAACCTGCGTAACCCCTCCTGTTTGATTTTGAGCCACAGCCATTTCTTTTTCTGCGAAAACCGCTTGAGGGCCTTCCCAGAAAGCGCCACCGAGCTCGTGGGGGCAAACTTCTGCTTGAAGATTGGACGGGGCTCTCGAAACGAAGCGCCGAATCTGGGCTTCAGCGGATTCGGGCTTGTGTTTCGTGTTTTTTTTAGGGGAACCCCCTCAAAATGGTCGGTTTCATTTGGTGTTCCTTTAAAGCCGACCAAAAACACGGGCTACACTGAAAAAAGATACGCCCAAATCTGTCCGCCCGCCTGTAGAGGACTCGCAGGCCAAAGAGACACCTGACCAGGTCACTGATTGATGCGAATTTGAGGGGTAGATCTAGAACCTTCCAGTCAGCCATATGGATGTCGGGCAAAACCAACCTCTTTGCATAAGTTCACCTCTTGAACGAGCCAAGAAGGGGTCCTTAGTCTTGACACATACCCACAGGAGGCAGAAACCATTTGGCTTCAGCCCCAATGCGTGGGAGCCAGGTTGGCTCGCAGAGAGTCTGGCAGTTCTGTGGGCGTTGAACGGACAATATGTCCCTCCCTTTGTCCATTTGGGGTCACGAAGGGCTCCTCTACTGCACGTTTGAGGTCCAAAAAACTGAAATTGCGGGAAACCCTGGATTCGTCTCTCCCTTTGTGTTTGCCGGAAATCAACCACTCAGTCGCATGTTATCAAGTTGTCAGACAGCCGCTTGGACCCAACAAAACAAACGACCCAAGCATGTCCATGGCACGAACAAAACGGCGCTCTTCCTTTGGCAGTTGAGTTTTTCAGGGCCCAAAGGGACCCATAAATAAAAGGTGATAGCCATGACCTAAATAAACAACAAGGGGAAACTAAGAGGTCAAAAAGGTCGATTCGCTTTGGGTAAGTGAGTTTTTCAAGGGGCCCATGCCCTCAAACAAAAGGAAAGGAAGCAACCCACTTGTTGGGGAAACAATTGGCTTCCGGATCTCCGTGGCTTGATCCATCTACATTTGCTTTTGCGGCTCAGGCGGCTGACACAGAAGGATTGCGTTGGCAGAAAGTCAACTTGGGACAGCCCAAGTTGACATCTCAAAATATGTCAAAAGCCAACTGATCAAAGGGCACGCCCTTCTTAACGTGCCCTTTTCTATGGGGGGGTGTCCATCGAATCCCGCCTCAAGAGATGACATGTTGCCCGGAGACACGTTGAAGGTCTCGAGGTCTCCTGCCAGTGCTTCAGTCGCTGTTTGCCTGTCAGCACGTGTCATTACATTCATTCGGTCGAGTGTCAGCCTGAAGCCGTTAAGTCTTCCGCATCCGCGCCCATTTCCAAAGAATAAGTTCAGCACCTTTACATACTGTATTGAGAAGCACAAAATGAAGCTCATTTGAAGAGTGACATCTGAGGGGTAAAGGGTATGACGGTAGACAAGTACCTGACTTCTTGCGTTTCAGGAAATGACCCAAGTGGACCCCTCATATCAACCTCTGCGTCTTGCTTCCTGTTTGAAGCACTGCTGCAGCAGCGGCATGTCACGCTTCCGGAGCACCAGCTGCAAACGGCCAGCATTGGACTCAAGGACTCCTGCGCTGAGCTTCAGGGCTCGCAGCATGTTCAAAACCGCCGCCCGGACGTCTGATGTGCTCCACTCCTTGCGTGACCTGCCGTAGCCTGTAATTATGATGCACTTGAAAGCTTCAGATGCACGCAGCCCTTTGCCAATACTTGGCGCCACCAAAGTTGCCAGCCACCAACGCACTGCTAGCTGAGCCGCTCCCTCTGACAGCTCATGAAGGTCGATGGTATGTGGGGTAGCCTTCATTGCTGTTGGGAAAACATTTGCTGAAAGCCCACAAACAAAAAAATGAGGCCCGTGCGACTTCGCAGAAATAGCATCCAGCACGTCATTGTAGCTGACTACGGTTGGCTGTACCTTTGTTCGAGGCATAGTCTCAAACAAGCCCAACGCCTGCTGCCACTGCCCGCCCTTGTCGCAAGCCCTGATGGCTGCACTGTAGCTCATTACGTTCGGCTGCACCTTTGCCTCAGGCATGGCCGCTAACAAACCCAAAGCTTGCTGCCACTGCCCGCCCTTCTCGCAAGCACTGATGGCTGCACTGTAGCTGATTACGTCCGGCTGCACATTTGCCGGAGGCATGGCCTCGAACAAGCCCAAAGCTTGCTGCCACTGCCCGCCCTTCTCGCAAGCACTGATGGCTGCACTGTAGCTGATTACGTCCGGCTGCACCTTTGCCTGAGGCATGGCCCCAAACAAGCCCAAAGCTTGCTGCCACTGCCCCCCCTTCTCGCAAGCACTGATGGCTGCATTGTAGCTGATTGCGTTCGGCTGCACCTTTGATTGAGGCATGGCCCCAAACAAGCCCAAAGCTTGCGGCCACTGCCCGCGCTTCTCGCAAGCACTGATGGCTGCGCTGTAGCTGATAACCGTCGGCTGCACCTTTGCCTGACGCATGGCCCCAAACAAGCCCAACGCTTGCTGCCACTGCCCGCCCTTCTCGCAAGCGCTGATGGCTCCACTGTAGCTCATTTCGTCCGGCTGTACCTTTGACTGAGACATGGCCCGCAACAAGCCCAAAGCTTGCTGCCACTGCCCGCCCTTCTCGCAAGCACTGATGGCTGCATTGTAGCTGATTGCGTTCGGCTGCACCTTTGCCTGAGGCATGGCCCCAAACAAGCCCAAAGCTTGCTGCCACTGACCGCCCTTCTCGCAAGCACTGATGGCTGCACTGTAGCTGACAACGGTCGGCTGCACATTTGCCTGAGGCATGGCCCCAAACAAGCCCAAAGCTTGCTGCCACTGCCGGCCCTTCTCGCAAGCACTGATGGCTGCATTGTAGCTGATTCCGTTCGGCTGCACATTTGCCTGAGGCATGGTTGCAAACAAGCCCAAAGCTTGCTGCCACTGCCCGCCCTTCTCGCAAGCGCTGATGGCTGCACTGTAGCTGACAACGGTCGGCTGTACCTTTGCCTGAGGCATGGCCGCAAACAAGCCCAAAGCTTGCGGCCACTGCCCGCCCTTCCCGAAAGCGCTGATGGTTGCATTGTAGCTGATTACGTTCGGCTGCACATTTGCCTGAGGCATGGCCCCAAACAAGCCCAAAGCTTGCTGCCACTGCCCGCCCTTCTCGCAAGCACTGATGGCTGCACTGTAGCTGACAACGGTTGGCTGCACCTTTGCCTGAGGCATGGCCCCAAACAAGCCCAAAGCTTGCTGCCACTGCCTGCCCTTGCCGCAAGCGCTGATGGTTGCGTTGTAGATCATGACGTCCGGCTCAACCTTTGCCTGAGGCATGTCAGACAGCACCCAGCATGCATCTCGCCAGGATGCTTGCTTTGCATAGCTGCTAATCTTGAAAGTGTAGCTCTTGGCAAGACGTTTCACATCCAAAGTTTCAGTTTGTTTGCATCCACCTGCTGGAGCGTCCGGTGCAGCCTTTGCTCGCTCCCATGGCCGGCTTTCTGACGAGATGCTGAAGCGTCTCTCCAGTCGTGGTCGAAGTGGGCGGCATGAAGCCATGGCCTCCCGGGCTGCGAGAACGCGGTGGGACAGGCGGGACTCCCAGTGCTCAGTTCTCTCTGAGGCTGCCAGCATGGAACAAGCGTGTCCTCTTGAGAGAAGTCACTCACCCCTCGGTTTTTGTTTGGCGCATGAAACGAAAACGACGTCGCTGAAACCGGAGACTCCCAACAAATTGGTCCAGTTTCAGATGCTTCCTATTCAAAGATCATCCGCGCAAGGGACATTTCCACAAACCAAGGCTGAAGCCTCGAGTCCCAAGTTCGCATCAGATCTACCCAGCCCGCCAATTCAAGTGATAAAAAACCTGCGCACGGGTCGCTTTTCAAATCGTTTCACGCCCATTCAATGCCAAAAACAAAAAGACTCGTAGGACCTACCGCATTGACAACTCCCAGCTGCGTCCACATCATGCTGACGTCAAATTGCTCAAGCCCCAGCGCAGCGAACGACTGTCATAAGTAATTTGAAGCCCTTGTGAACCTCGCTAAACACGAGCCAAGACGAAACTTGGTTCCCAAAGAGAACTGTCATAGCTTTCACAACGCCACAAGTGGTGAATTGAGAGCGAGGCCTCCTGTTGGATAACTAAAACATTCAAACGTGGAGGCGAAGCTCGCTTAGCTGTCTGATCCTGTGTGTACGTGACCTCGGCGAATGAAGAGCAGCGCACTAACATGGATCGCGCAGTGGGAATACGTGTTGTTGGTGAATCAATGTCTGTGTCAGCTCGACATAAGACGCACAGTTTGCGGCACGGGAGTCAGGCCTCTTTTTATTGGAAGTCAAGACGCACTCATCAACAGTTCATGCAGACGTATCTTATATGGAGAACAAAGCAATCCTGCATGACTGAATGGAACCATCATTTAAGAATTCAAGATGGGTGCGCTTCACAAATCGTGCGCAAAAACTAGTGACAAGCAAGTTGCAACATGGTCTGGTAACTTTAAGTGGTTGGTCAACGAATCAAATAGCGAATTGGCTCTGACGGATACTGTTCTCGCAACATCGCCAAGACAGAACACGTTTGCTTCCTGAAACACGGACATGTTTTAACGCTGCAGCAAATAGGGTCCAACTATTTAATGGGTTCCAACAGATTGGTTCCAGGATTCCAACAAATGGGTTCTAATCTATGCTGCACAAAGGATTGTCCGCAAGCGATCGGAATCCCTTTCTTGGAATCCGCCTAAGTCTAAGCGGCGGGCCCTGACATCGTCGGCTTTGGGCAACAAACCGCGCGCGAAAATACTGGGCTTTTCCACCCAGAATCGGTTTAACCAAATGGCCATGAGTCAAAATCCAAATCGTACCAGTGAACATCCCAATCCCCAGTATAAGCGAAAATGGGTGGTGAATTCGCCTACCAACCAAGATGGGATCCCAAAACGGTTTTCACCCACAGCCAAATCTTTGGAATAGGTTTCTCTCGCGAGTGGAGTCCTCCAAGATCCGAGTACCAGGGAATGAAGGTGCCGTTCTCGGTGAAGGTGAGGTTTCTCTCCTGCGGCCGGGGTGTATTTACCCCAAAGGATCATGAGCCCCTTTCAAGATCCTTGGGAACATAGACTGCTGCTGTGAATTCACATGGATCCAATTGTAGTGCAATCCTGCGCCTCCCCCAAAAGAGGAAACTTGGGCGGAATCCTCTGGGCAAGGGGGGATGCATGAACGCCAACAAAATGCATCAACTGATACGTGAACCCCATGAACCCCCCTGGTATGAAACCCCTCCTGCTCCATGCGCCCCTGGTATGAACCCCTAGATTTTTTGCGGAAAAGGAAAAAAATAGCCGCACCGCTGGGCAACTGGGCATACATGAACCCCATGGCGCCGTTGTGGAAAGAAAATTCGCCCCTTCGCCCCTTCGCAGACCGCGCCTCGCAGCCACCCTCGCAGCCTGGGCGCACTGGAGACCGCGTCAGCTGCTCCACCTCGCGGGAGGTCTTTTGCGCGAGATGTGCGATGCCCTGGGAACCTGGTTGAAACCCGGGCTTTGGGCCCCTTAAAGGAAAGCGTGCGGTTATAAACCGCTTAAGAGTCCCCTAAGGTCTAAGTGGAGTTCACCTTGTTCTGAGGGGGTGAAAAGCCCCATTTGGCTAACCACCTGCTATCTTGGCAATCGAACATCCAGGTACTGTGGATGGACAAAATTCAAGCCAGGTAGGTGGTTTCTCCCACTATTCAAGGAGTATCCCAAGATCTGCGAAGCGGATTTCGTCGATCCACTGGAATGGACCAAGTGGCCTTGGTTTTGGAAAAGGGTAATGAAGAATTATGGCCTTCAGGTGCTAAACAGAACTGGCCAAAATTATGGTTTATGAAGAATTCTGGTCTGTTTAGCACCCGGCCATGATATTTTTGTCAAACCCTCTGCGGACCGGAGGTTTGGGCTTTGAAATGCTTGCCAGGATGTCACTTCCGTTCGAGGGTTGGGTTGTCTTGGATGGGCCTTTTGGGACCTTGGTGTCAATTTTGTGTTGCCTGTGTTTTTTTTGTGGGAAAAAGATACCCCCAAAAAAGGGCATCATTTTCGCAAAGGCTGGCGTTAAGAACAAGGGAAGGTCCACAGCGCTTATTTCGGGCCAATGTCACAGTGTCTTGGCCAACCTGCCCTTTTTTGGAATTTTGTGAGATCTTAAAAAAGTGCTTCCCTAGCTCAGTCCGACTGGAAACCGCCCCCAAAATATTTTGTTCGATGGGCTCCCACCAAAAAGGATGACACCCACCGAATCCATTCCGAGCCTTCATGGCGTTCACCTGGTCCCGCAAGCTGTTGATCCGCACCTGGAGAGACCTGCCACGGTGGAAAACGCCGGCTGCCCCGTGGGGATTTGCATTGGATTCCCATCCCGGGCGGGTTTAGTGGGGTGTGGGTGGGTGGGTTTGCTTAGGAGGGTGGGTTTAGTGGCGCTTCTGCAACTAAAAGCTCACTTGCCCCTTAGGGGCGTAAGAACATGGGCTACCATTCATGTAGACCTCCAGGGTCGTTGTCTCTCCCCTAATCAGAAGTACCAACCTGCCCACCATGCCCCAGCCATTGGACAAGGAGTGATGAAGTGCAAAGCAGAATCCTGTTCAACCGAAACTTAATTACCTGGAAGAGGGGAGCACTTTGATGTCAGTGAATGCAAGAAAGGAAGAAACTCTTATGGTTTGCGTGGGAACTCGCACACCCATGCACACAATGACTCAAAAGACTGACACACATTGGGCTCCGAAACGAATGCAAAGCGATGGAGCTTCAGAACAACAACCGAGAAAACGAGCAATGCAATATGCAGCAACATCTACAGTACACTGACCAACCACGGGCCGGGTACCAACTAAATACATCACTGCAGTCTAAACAAAACAAAACAAAACAAAACAAGCACCATGCAGCAGCACAACTCACCCAATTATGCCAGAGTTAGGCCAGTACTTTGCGGGCTCACTTTTGGGGCAATAACCCGTTTTTAGTCGGGTAGTTGGAGGGTTCGGGCGCCTTGTTTTTTTCTTCTAAGGTCATGCTACGAGGATCCAGGCAAGGGAAGCATGGCGGCGTCACGCATAGACCTCGCAGTGGTCCACCGGCTTCTCGGCAGGATCCGGCACCAGCGCATCTGACAGTGCCACGCCTCAACGAATCGGCGCGGCTTGGCGACTTCGGCGAGTTCTGGGCCTGGCAACCGTCAATTGGCTGTGGCTCAGAAAACCGGTACCAAAATGGAACCCTGGTAAGTGGAAACATGGACCAAAACCTGCGTAACCCCTGCTGGTTAATTTTGAGCCACGCCCAATTGTCGCCCCAAGAGGTCCCAGGGCGGGAAATGGAATCCACTTCTGTGATACAAGGGACGAACCCCAAAGGCTAGCCCCCACATATAAGGGGAGATTCCCTTGTACCGCCGAAGCGGGCAGAAACCCCTTCCCACAACCCTCGGTGCCAGGTTCCCCCCAAAGGGCCAAAAAAACCAATTACACCCAGCACCGTGGGCAATTTTTCTATAGAGCCTCGGGACCATGGTTTTGCCATTCTGTCGGCTGCCGTTTGAATTCCTCCTGCGACAAAGTGCTGGTCCCATCGAAGCATCTCTGCGGGATGCTCATGCCCACCCATCCACGCCTTCCTGGAATCTGGGGCAACCTTGTCCCTCAAGCTTATCTGAATCATTGGCTGCCCACTCAAAACAAAAGCTCAGGTGATATCCCCAACAGCATGCGGAGCCCCGCAGCCCTCGCAGAACCTCCCGGAACCCTCGTAGAACGCTGGTGGAGCCCTGGTGGAACCCTGGTGGAGCCTTACCTCAGGTTGGGGAAAAGGCAAAAAACACTAATTCCGTGGGTGAAATTCAACATATTCACCTCCCACCCAATGAACATGGAAACCTCAGTGCGATCTGCCGGGCAGATTTTGGCAGGCGCTGCTTGACATTTGGTCAGGCGCCTGCAAAGATCGATGGCTTCAGTTTCAGAGCCAATAGCTCCACGACAAGTCCTGTAACGTAATTCAAGCTGTGAAGGGGCTGTTGTACCCAACTAGGTCCTCCAGTAGAGAGGTTTTTATAAGGGTACCCATTTTTTTGTCTGTAGTCTATTTTAGTAGGGGAACACTACCCCAAAGAAAGGGGCGAGAAAGGGCACTACTCGGAGACCTAATCAAGTTGAGGCTCCCAGCAAAAAAAAACAAGGACTGGGGTAGAAGGCTGATAAGCAGCCTGGGATTTGCGCGGCTGACATCACACACAAACACGAGAAGCTGGGGAACGTTCTGGTCATGCACTGGGCTTGCCCATTTTGTTTGCTCACCAGGTAGCTAATAAATATGGTGCAGCTGTACCAAGCTCTGAGTCTCCGGAAGGACTCTGCGCAGGGAGAAAACACGGGTTCAACGCCACAATAAACCAATAAGAGCCCACGAAGAAAACATGAGAGCGCCGGGGAAGTGGCTGACATCCTTGCAGCTTCCTAGTTGCTCTGGTGCTACCGCCACTTGCGGCGCTGCCGTACGTCGGCCACTTGCGACGGAATCCATGATGTGCAACTGTAACAGCCTCACTGCAGGGTTCGTTTGGGCGACAACCAGCCCCCCTGTTTGCGCCTTAAACCTGGTTGTCGCCCAAACGAACCCTGCTTTTGTCGCCTGCGTCGCCTTCGCCGAAACGAGCAGGGCTTTCACTTGCGTCGACACCTCCGGATTGTCCGACCGGGTAATGCTCCTACGCGCTTTGTGCCAGCCACCAAGCTGAAGCCTGAAGTACAACCCCAAGTCTTTAGACACAGGGGATTGTGAGTCGCAAAAGTTCTAACACACCTGGTCCGGAACAAAACAAACAACTCACACACACAAACGATTCAACAAATCGTAAATCCCTTTGGATACCGATTACACATGGGGCCCGAATTTTCTTTACACAACTTGCCCCAAGCCCTTGTGTCCCTTTAGCAAAACCTAGGAATTACATCCATCGCACGGGCGAGTGAAATCGGGTCTCCCGACCTGGCGCCAGGCACAGTACGTGGGTGGAGGAGATGTAGCCTCGGGCGGATGTCGTCTTTTGCCCAATGGCAATGGTGTCCTTTTGGTTTCCCTTTAAAACCAACCATTGCCACACCGGATAAAATGTGTGTGTGTGTTGCCTCGACTCGACTGGAGGTTTCTCATTAAATGGGGTTCGGACCCATTGGCTGTTTTATTCAAAGCCAAGGGGGTGCTTCTGAAAATAGGGGTGACCAAAATAGGGGTGACCCCCCTAAATTGGTTGTCTTCCTTTTGTTTTGGCTTTCCTTGAAGCCCCGAAAAGGAGCAAAGGCTTCTCTATCTCCGTTCGGATCCTCCAAAAATAGGATTGTCCCGTGTGTTTTCCGTTTGGAGCCACCCACAAGCAATGGTAGTATTGGGGCTTCAGAAAGTGGCAACGGCCGTTTCGTTTGCCTTTATACCCAGCAACCAGTTTGGCAAAATGGGCGTTTCCCCAAACTCGTGGTGTCCTTTTTTGCAACGGATGCCTGTTGGCTCCTTTTTTAAACGCCAAAGCCACCAATTCTTCGAAACCTTCGAGTGGCGACAGCCAGGTGTTCCTGGAGTCTTTCTGAGGATTTATTTTTTCGGGAGACTCCAGGCTGGTCGTTCAACACATGAGTCACACTCAAAACCCGGTAACTATTAAAATGGCCGACCCAGAACCGTGGATAAGGAAATGCCAAGGCGGATATCCGCAGCTGTTTCTGGCTGGCCTTGTCCCTTCACCTTCATCTACCCAGGTCTTGATTGTGGCTCAAAATAGGAAATGCAAGGTGATGTCCTTTCCGGGCCACCAAACATGGGTTTTAACTAAATAACCAGATTGTCCCTTCATCTGCATCTACCCTTTGCTGGTTTTGCGCAAGCTCACATCGACCCTGAGGCAAATCTTTCTGCTCTCGACTCCGAGGCGCTGGAGAGAGGCACCCGTGTGGGTGTGGCCATGGACACCGACCTCACAAAACTGGGCTGCCCTCAGATCCCCGGCTAAAAGTGACTCACTTTTAGTGGGATAAATGGAACCCCCCGCAAAGCTAAGGGGATGGCTAGGAGCCACCAAGTAAATTCGGACTTCAAAATGTCGAATTCGGAAGTGTCGCGGCTTGGCGCCTTTTCCTTTTGGGCCGATTGATCGTTTTCGGTGGTCATTTGATTGGTCCTTTTCTGTTGTCGTGTCATTTGACAGCACAGGTGTGTCTCGAAAGAGGCTCGGTACTTCTTTGCAGAACGCGACTAGATGTCCCCCCCCTCCTCCAAATGAGCGCCGCAAGTGCGAGATATATGTATGTTGTTGTTATATTTTTTCTGAGAAAGACGATTTCCTGGATAAGCGTAGGCAGGCAATCAGTCCAAAGAGGGCACATTGACTCAGTTGTCCAAAGGAGCCACGCAAATAGTGATAACCTTTTGGAACCTTGACAAAACATGCCTGGACCCCAAAGCTACCCATAAAGTTGGCTATTGCCACACGCCCAAAATCTGGGAAACCGAAAGGTTAAAAGACATGAAGCCAAGGCGGCGCCTGACTTTTTGGGCACACAGAAAAAAGGAATCGCTGTGTGGAGGCTACCTTTAGGTTTCGACTGGATCTTGTTTCTGTTTCAAACCTTTCTTTGGGGCAGAGAGAATATACCCAAGCAATGCGTCCCATATCGGAGGTCCATGCTCATCCCCAATGCATTTGGATCCCATACATCAACCTGAACCCTGCAACACTCAACTTTGCAATAACCAATGTTTCGAGGAACGTTGAGAGTGCAGAAAGGTCGATTGCTTAGAGACTCGTTGCAGGGATCCCGGGTAAATGAGACTCGCATTGATAGAAGCAATGAGAGACTCCCACAAAAGGATTCTTCACTGGATGCTTCATTTACCCACCCATGCCCCTGACCTGGTCAGGCGTATAGAAGCTGTGAGCTACCACCTAATGTTGACCCAGGATTAATACACCCGTCCCATTATTATTGGGGTGTGTTCCCTCCAAAAGTGATGAATCCCCACAAAAAGGGGACACCCCCCTATTAATCAACCAGGGGGTTGATTGATGCGGGGTTAACATTAATCGGTCAGGAAAGGCGGAGTCTCTTTCTATGTTTTTTCTTTCCGGGCGTCAGGAAAAAAAAAGCTCATCACTGGCCCTAACATTGTGCCGTCGCATGGGTCTTTTGCTTGTCGGGTTTTGTTGGTGACCTGGGTACCAAATGACCCCCTTGACCCCACCAAGCACCAGGGAACCTCAAAGGGTATGTGTCCATGTCATGGTCTTCGCAGTGCTTGGAGGCCAAAGCCAAGACAAAGTCAAACGGGACCCTCCAGGCTTGGTTTTAGCTACCAGGCTCTTCATGGCTGCCTCTTGATTGGAGACCCCCCCCGGCCGCAAATAGGGTACCAACTCCGGAAAAAGACACATCAGGTTGTTTGTTGCGTTTTCTCCCATGGCTAGCAGAACAACTCGCATGGAATTGGACCCGAATGGTGATGGTGGCTGTCCTTTTGGTTTTGCTTAAACCATCCCAAAAGAGTACCAAAAAGGGCACCAACTCGAAAACACACACCTTGGTAATTTCCCGTTCTCGAGAGAGTACCTTTCGCCTCAGAAAGACACACACACACACACACACACGCACACGTGTCTATGTCTGTGTGTGTGTTTTCCAGAGATGTACTTTTTTGGCCTCCCTTCCTGAGTGGCTTGGCCCAAACAAGTCCAAAGTGTCTCTTCAGAATGGTCCAAGCCTCAAAAGTGCCCCAGCTACCAGTAGAGTAGCCAGTCATTTTCCATTTGGTTTTTGAAGGGCAGCCCTTGGTTGCCTTGCAGCATAGCAAGTGGCTGGCCACTTGGCGTACAACCCCCAACAAGGCACGGTTCACCCCACTTAGGACTTCTAAAAGTGGGTTATAATCACTCACTTGGCGAATCGAACACCCAAGATCATCCAAGTACCTTGCAGGCAAATGGATCCGCGCCACGAAAGTCCGAAACGGAGCTCGGGGAGTGAGTGGTACCGCAAGGGCGCACCAAGACCCCGAGGTGCCTGCGGAAAACCTGGTGTTCATGAGCTGAAAGGGTACCCTCAACTCGACTTGCCCAGTTCAAACCAAAAAAATAATAAGCGTGATCACCTTTGGGGACCTCTACTAAAAGCGGACCAGAAAGGGAAAGGTTGAAAGGCCGGTTTTTGAACAGCTGAGTCAAAACAAAGACAGTGACATCGGACCGTCTCAGCGCTTTGCTGGAAGATGCACTCGTCCGTGGTTCGGAAGTTGGTGCCATACACGTTCACCGGGCGCCGGGTATCCGTGCCTGAGAAAACGAATGAACTCGCGCACCCGAACTGATTTGTGTGAGAGGTACTCCTGGACATATAGCCCATGAAGTGTGCCTCCGAAACAATGATGCAGGCATCTCAATGCAAATTTACCTTCTAGTGGGTAGCATTCAGCAACAAACCGCCAAACTGGAGAACACGATGGCCAAGGTGTGCTTGAATTCACAGGCCCACCCCACGCTATGAGCTTCACAGGCCTTGCTTTATTTGCCTTCGCATATATAGCTGACTCCTACACAATCGCGCAGAAACACATATAGCCACCAGCGTCTTAACCATGGCACAAGCGTAATCGAATCTGCGCAGTGCACACAAAACACAAAGACATCGTGTGTGTCTGTTGGAGGGTGATCCCAAAGTGGTGTTCCTTTAAATCAAGCCAAAAGGACACGCGCACACAAACACACACATCATGACAAACAGTGAACTTCAAAGTTTGATCCTTCGTCCTTCCGTGGAACTGCAACACGCACTTCACGACAAGTGATTGCTATGCATCGTGATTGTTACAATCATGCAGTGGTTTCATTTACCTGTATAGTAGGTAACCCATGGAACCCTTTAAAACCCCAAGTAAAACCCCAAGGAACAATACCTGGGAATCACTGGAGCCCTCCCGCACAGGTCAAACTCACTCACTCACTCACTCACTCACTCACTCACTCACTCACTCACTCACTCACTCACTCACTCACTCACTCACTCACTCACTCACTCACTCACTCACTCACTCACTCACTCACTCACTCACTCACTCACTCACTCACTCACTCACTCACTCACTCACTCACTCACTCACTCACTCACTCACTCACTCACTCACGCGCACTCAACCCACGCTGACTCACTCTCACTCACTCGTCTGGGTGTGTGTGTGTGTGCTTGCGTGGCAGAGGCGGCATTTGGCAGTCTAGAGAGGCTCGATCGAGCGCGCAACCCAGGCGGGCCGAAATCATGATCACAAGAAAACTGACGGATCTGGGCCTATCAACCTCATAGCTTTCGGCTGGGGAATAAAAGGAACACCTATCACTAATGGATATATACTATATATATATATATTAATACAAAACCAATCTATCACTGATAGATCAACAAATTGAGATACATAAAATGAGCTTAAGCGCAATTGAAGGAAACCAACAACCAGGGGTCGACCGAATCAGAACGCCCATCGCAGCCGCCTGTCGGATCTCCCACGCTGATGGCTGGAGGCGTCACTTCCGACACGGTGGGGGAATCCACCAGCCTGCGCGGAGGGATTCGGCACAGAGGGATTCGGGTGCCCAGATCCCAGGCTGGCTCCAGTATAGTACGCAATCCTTCGATCCATGTTCCATTTAATTCGTGGTTTCAAGGGTGGCGACCCTTTGGTTGCTAAGCATATGGGTATAACAGCGCTCAAAAGATGACGTCTTATCAAAAACGGGGGAGTCCCATTTCTTTGTGTTTTTTCCCGTGGTTTTCCTTTTCACCAAGCCCACTCTAAAACAAAACCAAGGGCGCCCTCTCGACATTTTCCGGGAGCCAAGTCCGGGGTCAGCACTGGTACATATGGCTGGCTCGGCGATCGGCCGGCTTTTTTGCTCTTCTTTTTTCATATATATGTATATATATATATATATATAATTGTGTTGCTTGTTTTGTTTTGTTTTTTTGTACGGGGTACCCTTGTTGGGGTCTTTGTAAGGGAAACGGCTGGCCTTTCTTTGGTGGGGCACCCTTTTTTGGGTGACTTGTTGAAGGGAAATCAAAAGGACACATTCGGCGATACCTGGGCGTTGCAGTCTCTGTTTTGACGCATACCTGGCGACTTTTGGTGACCTTGGAACCTCTAAGGGTGTCCCTGAGCTTGACACATACCGATCTCCATGTGGCTTCGAATTTTAGTGACGTTGGAACCCCTGAAAAGTAGTTGGCGAACGTACAGTAAATCCCCAGCGAATTCTGATGTCCAAAAGGTCCCGGACTCACTCAATTTAACACCCATGTCTACAGTCCAGCCCCGTACCATGTTTTTAACGTCATGCACAAATGTCCCTTGCAAAACGCAACTTGGAAGCGTCGTGTGGGGGTTGATCAATAGTCCCAATGGTCATCCCATACCCCCAATGTCCATATTATGCACTTGCCCTACGAAGAGGCGAGGTGCACTTGAGTCACAGTCAAAACATGGCACTGAGCAAGTATTGTAAAGGTTCAAAAGGAAGAGTGCATCTATTTCTTTCTGGAACCGTCCCCCAATAACCTTCAACCTGGGTCTTGATTGTGGCTCACTTGGCTGTGCAGGTCTACATGGGGACTAACCCACCCAAAAAGACTCGGTAGTTTCCCTTTGAACTTCCTTTAAACCACGCCCCTCATCCAGACCCATGGGATTAAAAAAAAAACATGGAAGAAAGGAAGCAACCCACCTCCAAGATCTGTCTTTATTGAGGTGCTTTTTAGGCCCCCTTTTTCGTGTCTTTTTCCAAGGAGGCCAAAAAGGAAAACAACGAAGCGCCATTTTTGGAGGGTCCAAATTCTACAAACAAAAACACACAAACAAACAATTTCTGGTCCACCCTCCCATATGGTGGCAACCTCCTCTTGCTTTTAGGGTTCTGGGTTGCAAAATTTCACTACATGCCCCTTGCAGGGACCCCAATCGCCTCAGGATGAAGCCGGTGTCCCGGGCCGGTGATCCCCCAAAGGTCACCCAAATCGAGGCGTTCAGCGGCGAAGCCGTCGCGGGAGAACCTCAAGCTCGAGTCCCCGCCCCCCCGCCCCAGAATGCAAGGACCCCTCCCCCGAAAGAAACAAAAAACACCGGACCCTCAAACTACCCATGAAAAATGTTGTGCCCTCAAACAGATGGGAAGTGACTCCTCTTTTTTCAGGGTGAAACTCCTTTTGGGGGTCTCCGAAATCTGAGTGCCCTCAAAATCGCTCGATCGATCGGGCAAACTGCCAAATGATGCCAAATGCGGCTTCTCCGGCGAATGACAAACCCTTGCTCCCTATTCGACCTAGGCCTCGGCCTCTGCAAGGAGTAACACCGGGTGTCCAAGAGATCCGCCCCATAGGTGGCCTTTTGGAAAAAATAGGTGGCCTTGGTACATGGAATAAACACAATCTAAGCAGGTGCCATCTATGTTTAAGCGAGCTAGCCTAACACGGCCACACACGCTCTAGATGGGGGATGGATCATGAAACATTTGGGCTCCAGATCCCGACCGAAACCAGTTGGATGGGATTTATTTGTTTGGTTGTAAAGTAGCTGGTTTAGCTTTCTGGTGCGAGAAGCAGGGAATGAGAAATGGAATGAACCCAGGCTTTGGTCCCTTAAAGGAAACCACCAGTTGGATGGTGTATGGGGGTCATTTCATGTCCCAGCAGCACCTCTACTTCCTTGCAGCCCAAAGGCGGAAGCGCAAGGCCGTGCGGTTCACGCGGAGCGCCTGGAGGGAAGCCAAAAACCCAAACTTGGCACATACGAGGGAAGCCAAGGGCAAGGATTGTGAAGCTTGATACAGGTCTAAATTAGGTTTATATAGGATTAATCATACAGGCTGAGTTGGTTCTAGGCCTTATATAGGTATATTTGTTACATGTTTGTAAAAGCTTCAGCTTCCTTGAGCTGGGAATGAAACCCTGTGCAACGATGATGCTAAAGTCAAACTGTAATCCACCTAACAACAAACATGATATTGCACAGGCGAGTAAAGTAGGCCCGCTTCCTTGTGGGGTGCGCGGGTTTGCACATACGTTCAGCCATTGCTGCTTAACAACAAAGGCATTGCTGCGGTCTAGTTCGCACGCAAGGTGTCCCTCCTACGTTGCGATGGAGCACACCAGAGGGTCCGTTTAAGAACATAGTCTTCCAGGACCCCTCAGTCAAGTTCCATGTTTGCATGGGGGGTTATCCGTATTTTGTTTACAATGAGGAATCCCTAAGGACCTTGATGGGGAGCTCGTTTTACCCCCGAACCAGTGAGCTCATCAACATGCCGAAGATCTGATGTCAGAGGTGCTGTGAGGAATGGTCACGTTCGCAATGACGGCTCTTGAATCAATGAACCCTTTGAAGGAGACTGAGCCGTTAAAAATACGATTCGCAACATCCCCGGTCCGCTCTTAAAATGTTTTCCTGTCACCTTTTGGCTCTCACTTGCCAGTCCTGTGCAAGAAACTCCATCCGATCAAGACATGTAGTCCTGGAACCAAAGACAGAAACACCCAACCGCAAGCGCGCCCGGACTGGCGATCTAAGGGCCCCAACAAATTATGGGTGTCAAAATACCTCTTTGGAAGGGACACCAGATCTAGAAGGAAACCAAGCCGTTTTGGGCGTCCCTTACCTTAAGACACATCCTTCTAGACCTTTTGGGCACTTCACACAATCCTCGAAGCGAGTGAAGTGCAACGTTGTCGTGCCTGCCGATAGAAGCCCGGCGCAATCTCCACCTTGGTGTGTCGAAGCAGCCTCTGAAATGAAGCGTTCCTTTTGGCTTTTGGGCAAATAACCCCAAACGGTCTCAACATGAGTCACAATCAAAACCCCTCTATTAAAATGGTCTACCCAGAATGTAAAGAATTAAGAAGGCGGTCGCAACTATTTCTGGCTGGGACTGCCCCTTCCCTTCATCTACCCGGGTTTTGAGTGACATGGGATGTTCCACTCCCATGCATTGTTGGTGTCCGTATCGATTCCCTGGCAAAGAAAGGGTCCAGGAGGTCGGAGTCGAATCCTAGATGGTCGTTGGGACATGGTTTGAACCGTTACTCTCCTGCAAAGCATGGAACCTGAAAAACCGAGCTTTTGTGGAATCTCTACTATTGTTTTTTTTTTTTTGGGGGGGGGGCCGCCTTTTGGGGTTCCTTCCGTGCATTTACGGAGTGATGTCCCCTAAACACAACCCCATTTTCTATCAAGAAGATACCCATCACCTCTCGCCGAAAAAAACAAATGTGGGAGGGAAAGCAGGGTCTAAACCAACCTTAATGGGACTTGGAGATACCCTACGTGCACGCCATGGAACCCACCAAAGGAATGGTCCCTAAGCTTGTCTTTCACCCTGAAACGTCAGGTTTCCTGGGAACGCGGGGAGGGTCCCCAGTGCTTCCAGCTGTTTCGCCATAGGTCTTCAGGATCAGATTTTTTCGAGATGGGCCAGCCTGTAGTCCTGAAACTCCTGTAACACCGGCGGAATGCTTCGCGGATTCTTTACCTATCGGGGCAGAGTCCGACTCCATTTAGTCCCCAAGGGAAGACTCAGAACTATAAGCCCAGATCTGTAGGGTCCCTGACCCCACTTGCAAGGGGGTGGAGCTGTTCCGAGACCACAAGTAAATAACATTCAGTAGCCGTCTGTTTCCTTCATGCAGGCCTTGTAGACACTGGGTATACGTCCACATGGCTGCGGCTCAAAAAACCGGTACAATGGAAATCTGGTAAGTGGAAACATGGACCAAAACCTGCGCGTTTCCTTTTTAGCCACGTCCACATTGCCGCACCATTTCAGCACACTTCCAGGGATCGAAACAAAGGCGCCATAAGCCTAATGGCGGAGGCAACTGAGGCAACTGATTTCAAGCTGAGAAAGGAGCGAGGCTCGGGCATGGGAAACAACGCGCCGATTCGAAGTTGGCCCGGCCCGGAAGGCTTTCACAGCACATAACTGCGACTGGGACCTGGAACCGAGCGCAAGTTGCAGGCAATGGATCTGGGCATATCGGGTGAATCGTAGTAAGGGCATAGTCTAGTGATAGTATGTTTGAAGCTGACGATGATAGTTTTTTTGAAACCAAATGGCCAACATGGTGTTGCGTGTAGCGCTTTATGAACCGATATAAGAACCAGACTCATGTCTTTAAGATCTTCAACCAGAACCATTGAACCACCAAAGATGTCGCTGTTGATTCATCAAAATGAGAGGTGCCATAGCCAACTCGCACTGTCCTATGCGTAGCAGCTTCTTCAAACGATGTAGCTGACTCGAATCTTGAACAGAAAGCAATATGACGGGAATCAAACTGTGCAACACTGCTTCGGCAAAAGATGCAAAGCTGATGCAAAAAAAAGCCGCCCGCGCCCCCTGGCTGTCTCATGAGTCCTGATCGGTGGGAATGGGGATGGATATGTTTCGATGAATTCAAGGCCGGCAAATGTTGAACCCATACTAATCAACCCCAGTTTGTTAATAGCGTGTGATTTCTCTCCAACGGTGATGATTCCCCACTAAACCCAGGTTGACACCTCCCCCAATTTAATAAACTGGTTGGTTGATTCATTTGGGGTCAACAGTATAGCAATTGTTGAAGTTCCCATTCGCCAGCGCCATAAAAAACTCGGCCAAGGCCCTGAGATTTCAGGTGCGCGGCTCCCATAAGACATGCCCTTGCTAGGTGGCTTTGATGGAAGCCCAAGGAGGATCGATGAAAACAACGCGGCCTGCGGCCCCGGAAGCACCAAATGGAATCCTTGAGCTGAGAACCGGACAGCGATCTTCATGCCCACGATGTTCCTTCGCTTCGCTCGGTGTCAGCCCGAGTCGCCTTTTAGGACACATTGATGGTGGTAAAGGCAACCCCCCTTCGGGCTAAACGGGGGTGAAGGGTGGCTTGTTCAGCCGGAGAACATGAGTAAGCTGGCAAGGAGCAGCGGCGTGTTCCCCATTAGGAATTCCTTTCCGGTATCGGGGATCAAGCCCTATGGATTGAAGTAGATGGCACAGTTCCCTGGGAATGATCGACGAACCTAAGGGGGGGAATGTGCCATCTACTTTCGTCCCACTGCAAAAGCTGGCAATCCCCGCGTACTTGTCTTTACACCCGTATGGTAGCAACACACTTTGCAACTCCCTACCAAAATGAACAGAACCCCAAAAACACACAACCTAAACACGTGCCAGCAACAGCGAAGTCATGGCAAAACGCCTCCCACTTCACGTGTTGCCTGTGGCTCATCTGAGGCAACTGGAAGGCATCCAAGTGTCTGAACATGAAACGAATCGCATTCCAGGGACTCACCCAGCTAAACCCCCAATTCCATCTGGAAGGGGTGGCATGCAGCCACCTCTCAAACTACCCATCAAAAATGATTGTTGCGCCAAAATTATGGGGTGAATTTGGTATTAATTCTGGGTAGTTTGACGCATCCATACGAGCACCGTACTGGAACGTTTGAATTGCATCTAAACCCCCCCCCCCGCCACAAAAAAATTGAAGCAATTGCCAACTCCAAAGAGACACCTACCCCAAAGGCAGCATGTCACCTATGAAATCACAGAGTTGTCTCAGGGTGCGCTTTTTTGCTTTTCTGTCGCATTACACCTTTATTGCAGATCATGTCAGAATCAGTCTAGGTTGTTTCCCAGGATTTCATCCCAGGGTGTAGCAGACAAAACGCTACTCACATGAACCGGAACAAACAGGTTCATGACTAAAAATGCTATCGGTAATCGCGGAAAGGAACACTGCACTGCGTGTTTCTAAAAATGCCAAATGCTTCCAGCATTCGAATATAGGAGGTTCCGTATTGATGGCACGTGATTTTCCAGTGGATAAGATGGCACATCCGAGAGGCCCATAAATCAATCAACAACTGGCTGTCGTCAGATGCCCTGCTAAAAGCTTTACTTTAAAAGGGTTAACTTAAATGGAAAGCCCTCACTAAACCTACTAACCCAAAAGCCCAAGATGGCTAGGAACCATCCAGATCCGATGCTGTGACCAACCAGGCACCCCGGCGGGAAGCCAATGCCCCGCACAGTAATCCAGCGAGGGGAGTGCACCGCCGCCACCAGAGGCCTAAGTGGCACCACGTCCGGCGCCTTCCGCGGATCCTGTGCTGTCGGTCGCCATGATCTTGACGTTGGGTTTGGGTTTGACCACGGAGCTTCTCAAAATGGTAGACCGTCTACGGTAGATGCGTTTTAAAGGAAAAAACACAGGTCTTGGTTGACCTTGGGTTTCGGGAGCAAAAACTCGCATTTTTTAGCAGTTCAGTGGATTTGGATTTCAACCACTCAACCACAATAAGATCAAAAATATGTTCAATGCTTCCCAACAACCAGGTGGCTGCTAGGGCCTTTGCTAGTTGATGCCTTGGCTGCTGGACTTGTCTGCAACAAACAAGCACTTATTTGCGGAGATGGCTTCTTTGGATTCCTTGTGCCGAGATGGTGTGGTTCTGTACCAAGTTATGCATGCGTGCCATGCCGGGTTGTGTCTGTCTGTTAGACATGTTGTCAACCAGTTGACAGGATGTGATGCAACGCCACACGCAGTCAAACTCAGCCTTCAAACATCTGGACCCTCCCAAGATTCTCCTTGTGAGCTTGTAAGACTTACTCTTGTTGCTACGAGTATGGGTAAAACTACGCCCAAAACGTTCCCAGCTCCATCTACTGTTCCCCACGAGAAAAAAAACAAACACACTGCCCTTACATGGGACCCATCTCAAGACTTAGGGACTCACAACAGGTTTTTGTTTTTCCTTTTTTGTCCCTTTGAAACCCACAAAACGACACATCCCTAGATGACACCCCCCTTTTTACGTGTTCCAAGCTCCAGGAGTCCCAGTCAGATCCTTGGTTGATGTCTATGGGCGTGCCTCGGTTTTTGGCGGGACCCGCAAAGTGGAGGTCGTGTTCCTGTTGGTTTCCTTTTTAACCACAAATAAAAGGCGACCTTCGAAAAAAGACACCCCCAAGTCCACGCAAAAAAACATGAGACCTTCGAAAAAAGACACCCCCTAGTTGAAACTCCCGCATCTGCTCCCTGAAAAGTCCATTGAGCAAAGACGGACGTGTCGTGCGCTTGGCTGTGTCACCAAAATATCTGCAGTTTGCGCAGTTTGGGCCAGAGGGCCACCAGAAACCGATGGATATTTGGACCCTGTCGGAAGGGGCGATCGGGTACCTAAGTGGGCAACAACCACTCACTTGCTGAGTGGATGGTCCCAAAAAAGTCCAAACATTGTATTTGCCACTAAAATGGGCTTTCCAAAAAGTTTAAAGTTCATGAACTCAGGAAGTGAGATGGTTATAACCCACAAAAGCCATGCTTATTAGTCTCCTAAGTGGATTATGACAAGGCTGACTCACCACTTACTAGGTACCCTGCCCCTTTAATTGGTTTCCATCTGGGCGCCAGAAGCAAGGCCACGGTTGTTTCGGGGAACCGACCAAAGAAAAACAGGGGGCAAAACGGAAGTCGCTGACTTGATGCAAAGAACTTGTCAGACTCCAGAAGACGTACGTTACGGGCTTCAGCGGAGGCAGCCAAGAGAGCGGGCCAGCTTGACGCTCGAAGAAATGTGACCTGTGGCTAACTAAACTTTAACACTTTGAATTTGGCTTCAACGATTTTAGGACAGTCTCCCCTTCGTTTTCCCTAAAACTCCAGCCGTTGCTTGTTCAAGAATGGGCACCGATCCCAGTGAACTCAAGCGGCTTCATATCTGCCCTCAGGGAGAAAACAACATCAGTTTGAACCAGCTTGGCGTCAACCCCTTGCTATTCCCTATGTTCAACACATTCCTTAAGCAAGCTACTGATATGTTTCCCAATTTAACGCAGGCCAGGCGTTGCATTTTGCCCGTCTGAGCCACCTCCCCGCTCAGGGCGCAGGCGACATGCTGTAGAAGTGCGGGTGCTCGAAGAGAGAAATGGGCCGCCTATCGAAGTGGCGCTTCGACTTGCTGCCAGCGCTTCAACTTGCAGCTTTGCATCGCTGCGAGTTGTTACGACTTGGGACGCTTGGCTGGACATCTGACAATAGATTCGGACCCGCTGGTTGTTATATGGGAAGCCAAAAAGAAACCACACATCTTTAGCGCACCGATATTTTGCAACGCACGCACAGAATTCAGGGCTTTTATGCCAATTATTATTAGAAGTGCAATTCCGTCCATCCGTGAGGGCTCTAGTGTTTGTTTAATCCCAATATCTTGAATTCACATTCTCGAGTCCCTGGTGCGATCTTGTTTAGATTGCTTGTTCCTTGCTTGGTCCCGTCTTGGGTCCAGGGAAAGCATGGCTTGAAGCTTTCCGCGGCAACAGAACCCACCAAACAACACCAGCATATGCTGCCTCAAAATAGGGACTTGGACCCCACAAATGGCTTTGGCTTTCCTGTAGGTGTCCCTTTTCAAGCAACCCCCACCAGCCCCCAACGAGGTACACACAGACACACACGCACACAGACACACACGCACACAGACACACACACACACACAGCCATGTTTCTTGGAATCTGGAACCCTAGAGCAAGCCCCCTCCCCAACAAGGTCCCCTAGATCTCCCCAAGGCCAAAAGGGGACACGTGGGGGAGCCATATGGATGGAACAAATCCTGCCCCGGTTGGTTTCTTGGGTTTCCGCCCCAGGTGTCTTGCGTGGATTTCGTCCATAAGCACCAAAAGGGGGGAACCACACGGAACCTTCCGGCAAAACACCCCCGGGCTGCTCTCAGATTCCCTGCTAAAAGCTTAACTAGTGGGTTAAATGGAAACCCAACGACTAAACGCTAAAAGGCTAAAACGCTACGTAAGGGGATGGCTGGGAGCCACCAAGACCCGGTCACCCACTCACCCCGGTCACAGGCGAGTGAGGAAGCCAACTCCCCTGGGGCCCTGGCGGCGTCGAGATCCACTGCACACCGTTGGGGGACACCTCCACATGCAGCCGGTGCATGCCTCAGCTGAAATCGATGTATTACATTCGGTTCCCTGGTAAATGGATGGCAAACCCCTTGAAACCAGTGGAAACCATCAATTTGAACAACCAAACTAACTTATCAAAAGGACACCCATCTGCACGCAGCGCGTGTTCAGTGCCCTCCGTTTTCAGCAAACTGAGCAGATGTGCAGCTACGTAAATTAAGAACAGATGCCCCAATTCAAGGACCTACATCATGGTGAGCTCGCCGTAACGAAACAACAGAACACCTTGCTTTTGAAAAGTCGCCCTTTCACGTGAATGCCAAAGTGGGATTCCGTTCCCCGTGAATCCCCCGCGCGCGTTCTGGGTGGCAGAGCGGTGCTTGCTTGCTGGCCAGAGGCCAGAGGCCTTTCGTGTACCGCAAAAATATCACCGACCGAGTGGCTGGGCCCAAAAAAGTTTCACCGAGCTTTTGGTCTACGCCACTGCTGTGATTTGAACAGCTGAGTGTGTGTGTGTGTGTGTGGCGTCATGGGTATGCACTATATTATGCACTATGCACCTTTGCGTGGGCATAACAACTACCCCTGCTGTCCGTTTGCTCTTTCCCTGCTAAAAGTTGCGAGCTTGTGGGCTAAATGGATAAACCCAACACCTAAACCGACTAACAACAACTAAAAACCTGAGGAGCCGGACGGCTGTGAACCTTGGTCTAAGCCGCCAAAATGGCCACCAACCCCAAAAAGCGAGGATCAAGTCCGAGACGGAACCCAGGAAGTGAGAAATCCAAGATACTTGAGTGTCTGCTTTTGAGGGCACCCCCGCTTTGGTGGTGTTGGAAGGGACACCCAGGGGAAAACCACCTGCTTTGAGCGCTTCCCCATTTGTGTCTCAAAATAGGGCCACCCAACAAAAAACAAACGATGTTCCATATGGCTTCCCTTCAAAAACCAAGGCAAACCATGGTACCCTTGAAAAAAGACGACACTTATGTGTTTCTGTTGTTTTTTAAAGGAATTTTCCATATGGCCCCCCTCCAAACCAAGGTATGGCACCCTCAAAACAAGACGACACTCTTTGTGGCCAGCACCGAATCCAGGGCCAGCGCTGGGGAAGGGGTGGGCTGCGTTGATCGGGCCACACCTGCACCGCTGGGCCGTTCATATGAACCTGCAGGCGGATTTTTGTTTAAACAGATATCACTGGATTCCCTCTTCAAAAAATGGCAAAATGGCTGCAGCGCCCACCGGAACCGGCACTTTTGGAGGTTCCATGAAGGGAAATGGAGCTTTTGGAGGTTCCAAAAAGGGAGATGGCCCAGAAACCCTGTGAGACTAATTATGTGGGTGCAACTTTCAATAGAGCCTCAGGTGGACATCATTTAGGTGGAGACTGCCACCAACCACTTGACTTTTGAGGCGCTGGCCATATTACCCGAAGAAAAGGACACCCCCCCGAGCGAAGGCCATGACTTCATGGAGATCTGGTTCAAGCCCCAAATCAGTGAGCTCGTGATGCAAAAAACATCGGGCAGATGGATCCTCAACGAAGCAAAGAACATAGATGGGGAGATTCTGCATCCACTCTGACAAAGGGAAAGCTCAGGGCAACCTCTGAATTGTATTCCGTGTTTGGGCATCCAAAAAAAAAAAACGCATCAGTTTCATTCCAGGAATTGGCTTGGGTTGCGGCAGTGCAAACCATCATCAACTGTTCACTGATGTTGGCGAGTTTAAATGCCTTCATCCAGCCAAGCTCACTTGACCGATCCCTACCGACCGAAACCAGAGAAGTGGTCCAGCAAAAGCCTTGGTGGCTGTTGCCTCTGTTGCCTCAGGCTCCCCAAAAGAGTCAGCGATGGTGCGATGGTCTGGAACATCCGTCCCCGGCTCCCAGGGAGCCCAATTTCGAGAACTACCCCCCTGTCCAAGCAGGGGACCAAGTACCACTATACCTCAACCTAAGGGTGTGAAACAGTCCAAAAACTGGTCAAAATGCGCGGCATGCTCCAAAATGATAAACCTGTTTCTCCCTGCTATAATATAGGTAAGCGCCCAAAACCCATTGACTTTGGGTTCTATGGTTCGGATTTATATAAATTTATATGGCCATGGGTCAAAATCCTGTACCCCCAGTGAACATCCCAATCCCCCTAAAAAAGACAAAATGGGGGTACACCTACCCCAAAATGGCACCATTGGTTTTCCCGCCTAAAGTTGCCCTTCTCGGCGAGTTTTTGGAAAGTGAGGAACTGAGTTGGGGCTTTTTTCCAGCTTTGCGCGACTGGGGGGAGACGAGACAGCAACGTGGAATGTGCAGAGTCGTTTGCACTTGCTGAAAGGATCGCAGAATTGAGCCGTGGCTTGCATACTCGCAATTTCTCAAACCCGAAAAGCAGTCTGAAGCCATGGTCGCCATGGTCGCATTTATGAAATGAATCAAATTTTCAAGGTGCAGGTACAAGGCGAGTGGGCAGTTGAGAGCCCCTTTCGGGTTCCTTGGGCTCCTTGGATTAGGATGCTGGTAAATAGACTTGTGTCCCCAACAAAACGCCGCCTTTCTTTGGGCGTCTGCGCACCCCGAAGGTGCGGAGAAACCCCTACAAAAAGTGGCGACTCCTTTGTGAAGCCTTGAGAGGTTTCTGCCAGGACTTTTCAATGGCGCTATGGTTTGTTCAGTGACCTTCTTTGGGCCTTTTGATCTTGGACACCTACAGGGCTCCCGATATTTCCATTTAAAAACATCACCCCATCAAAAACAAACACTCAGCTTTCATGGGCCAAGCAGCTGGTTCTTAAAACCCAAAGGGGCTTTTCCAGGACTCGACCCCTGACCTCTGGGCGCCGTTGTGAAGCCGACTCTCCTTGGACCTGGTCGCCCCAAGCTGACGCTGCCGCTGACGGCTGACGCGGACGCCTGGCGGTGCTCAGCGTCACCCAGGTCAGGCCCAGCGTGTAGGACCGCGCTGAGGGCCCTGTGGAGGTCACCTGAAGCGTGCGAAATACCCACAGCTTCCCTCGTTTTTTGGTGGTCCTGCGGAAGTTACCTGTGGCCCAAGATTTGGTGTGAAATACCCACAGCTTCCCTCCATTATAAGGGGGGTGTCCACCTGGGTTTAGTGAGGAATCAGACCACTCTTGGAGGGAACACCCCCGCTTTTCTCTGTGAAAAACTGTATTTTCAGCTTCCCTTGTTTTTTGGGGCGGGTGGAGCCGGAGCCCGGTGGTTCGGTGGCGATGTTGTCGGTTTCCCTTTGGCTTCCCTCTCATGTTGACCCCGGATTCCAAAAGCCCAGGTGATTCAGAGTCAAGGACCTTTATCACGGTGAACTCGATGTAAATTCCAGGTGAGCTCGCTCTGAAATAGGCAGATGAATCAACCCCAGTTTGGTTAAGAGAGGGGGTCAACCTGGTGCTAGTGGGGAATCAGCCCACTTTTGGAGGGGCCCCAAAAGCCCTAATAAACTGGGGTTGATTAATATGGCGTCAACATTAATTGGTGGTTTGGAGCCGAATCGGTGCTTTGGCGGTGAAACATTGGGGTTTCCCATTCACCTGCAACAGTCAGGAAATCCAAATCCAAACCACCAATCCAAACTACCGAATAAGGGTTACCTGACATTTGGGTGCGTCTTCTGTTTGAGCACCCCCACTGATATTAGCTCCTTCCCATGTTCAACTTTGCCTGGACATGCAAACTACCTTTAAATTGAAAAAAACACTATTTTGGGCGGGCAGTAGCCCATTTTTCATGGCAGTTTAAACGTTCAGGTGTCTCATATGTTAGCGGACCCCCAAAATAGCGCAACGGTTTTCCTTTTGGCTTCCCAGTTAAAACCACACACAAAAGACACATCCACTTACGGAAACCACCATGTTGGGCCTCTATGTTGATATGTTGTTGGTTTCCCTTTGGTGTCCCTTTAAATACCTAAGGGATCGAAAACCATTTTGAGAAACACACCCTCGGGTGAAAGATGGTGAACTCAATTCCAACCCATTTTGGCGGTCACTTCCTTGACTTACCCACACCCTAAGGGCATGGCAAGAACACAAGATGAGTTCAGTCTGGTACTGTTGTCGGGGCAGTGTGAGTCCTGATACCCCTCAGAATAGTTAATTACAGCCCTTGCCTGTTTGTTTCCCATAGCAATCCGGTCAAGGAGTTGATGCATAGAGAGGGCGCGCCCGAACCCCGACAAGGAACCCAAAACCCACCCCCCGACAAGAAACCCATCCACCCCCCGACAATTTTTGTTCTTTCACCCCACGACAAGAAATCGCTTTGGGGCCTCCCGAAAGCAAAAAGCGATTTTTGGGCTCAAAAAATCGCTTTTGCTGGTGCCTCCCGAAAGCAAAAAGCAATTTTCGGGCTCAAAAAATCGTTTTTGCTCAGCCTGGGGCCTCCCGACAGCAAAAAGCGTTTTTTGGGCTCAAAAAATCGCGTTTGCTCTGCCTGGGGCCTCCCGAAAGCAAAAAGCGAATTTTGTGCAAAAGCGATTTTTGGGCTCAAAAAATCGCTTTTGCTCAGCCTGCAGCTTCCCGAAAGCAAAAAGCGATTTTTGGGCTCAAAAAATCGCTTGTGCGGGGAAGAGGAAAGAAGACTAGGGGAAGAGGAAAGAAGACTAGGGGAAGAGGAAAGAAGACTAGGGGAAAAGGGAAAGAAGACTAGGGGAAGAGGAAAGAAGACTAGGGGAAGAGGAAAGAAGACTAGGGGAAGAGGAAAGAAGACTAGGGGAAGAGGAAAGAAGACTAGGGGAAGAGGAAAGAAGACTAGGGGAACAGGAAAGAAGACTAGGGGAAGAGGAAAGAAGACTAGGGGAAGAGGAAAGAAGACTAGGGGAAGAGGAAAGAAGACTAGGGGAAGAGGAAAGAAGACTAGACTAGGGGAAGACTAGGGGAAGAGGAAAGAACTAGGGGAAGAGGAAAGAAGACTAGGGGAAGAGGAAAGAAGACTAGGGGAAGAGGAAAGAAGACTAGGGGAAGAGGAAAGAAGACTAGGGGAAGAGGAAAGAAGACTAGGGGAAGAGGAAAGAAGACTAGGGGAAGAGGAAAGAAGACTAGGGGAAGAGAAAAGAAGACTAGGGGAAGAGGAAACCAGACTAGGGGAAGAGGAAAGAAGACTAGGGGAAGAGGAAAGAAGACTAGGGGAAGAGGAAAGAAGACTAGGGGAAGAGGAAAGAAGACTAGGGGAAGAACTACGGGAAGAGGAAAGAAGCTTGTTTTGGGCTGCAAGCATCGCTGTCGGGGTGTCGGTGTTCTTTTGTCGTGGGGTGATAATAAGAAATTGTCGTGGTAACCAACGTTTTAGTCGCAGGGTTGCAGTTTCTTGGCGTGGTTAAGGCCCGTGCTGGATGCGTAGACCCGTCCGAAAGACAGAAGCCGAGGCACCAAAAACTCCCAAACACTCCCAAACAAGCTCCCGACCTTTGGCAATCCTGGTTCCGCTCAACGATTGATCCACTGAAAGGGGCTCCCAATCTGTGGATGCTTGCACAAAACTCACCTAAGATACCCCAACGTTTCTGATGATTCCCCAACGAAAATAATTACCAACCGACGTTATGGTCTCATTCCCATGGTTTCCTTTCGGTGGCGCGACATGGAATTCGCAACCATTTCGATTCCTTTCCCCGAAGCGAATGTGCTGAAAGCTCCATTTTTGCTCTCAACCGGAAAAAAATGAAAAAAATCAAAGAAGCAAATCAGCCTATTTGGGAACCCCCCTCCCCTTGTAGTCGACCAAACTCCTAGTGTGGGCCATCGTCTTCTGTCTGTGAAGCTTTCTATCCAGGCGTTGACCTCCCCGAGCAACCTCAAGGGTGTTTGACCATGATACAAATAGGAGTGATTCTGTTTCAAGGTACCATTTGCAGCAAGATTGTTTTGAATGAAACGCCCCTGGGCTCAAGAACGGGTATTCCAGGCATGGAGCATGGTCTCCTATCATGATTTCCTCCCCTACAGTTTAAGATGGAACCCAACCACCCCGCCCATTCTTATAAGAATCTCCTTTGGGGATCGGACCCCCACTTTTGGTTTGCAAGCATGGTTTTAATTTGCTGGTTCGACAGGCAGGGAATGAGAAATGGAATAAACCCCATAAACTATCCCTTGTTTATTTGTTCGGGAATCCCCGAAACGGTTCATTCCCAACACCTGGGCTCGCCCAAGCCCTACCTATCGCACCAGCAAGTTTATTTGCGAAGGGCTGCCCTCGGATCCCCCGCTAAAAGTTTAACTTTTGTTGGGTTAAATGGAAACCATCACTAAACACTAAAAGGCTAAAAAGCTAAGGAACCGGATGGCTGGGAGCCACCAAGTTGCAAGGGCTGCCACGAGCTTTTTTGTTCTTTTCTTCCCCGAGAGTCTCCTCGGGCCCCGACTCTGCACACCGACGGTGAAGACTGCATGGCGATCGCCGCCTGAAATTCGCTGACGTGCTTCCGATAGCAAGAAACCGAGTTCCTGGACCCGAAAGAACTACCTTAAAAATGAAAATCGCCCCATATTTGTGGGGTGTAATAGCACATTTGCATGGGCAGTTTGAGGTTCCAGGTTGGTTGAATTCTCTACCAGCACCCCCCAACAACTGCTTTTTCTCATGTCCGCAATCCCAAGTACTGTGCAAAAGACGTGGTTCGAGGGTCCAGGTAGTTGTTAAACGATGGTTTCGCCTCCCACCAAAGTTGTAACTGGACGCACGTGAGAGACGAGCCGTGACCCGGCCAAGTCCTAACTTGCGAGAAGTGTCTGTCTGCGCGTTTTTGCGAAGGAAAAGTGGCATAAAGAGCACCAGCTGGCGCAAACTAAGCTGGAACCCAAAAAGGGAGTCCAACCCCCAAAAGGAGTCTCCTCTAGAAATCATGGTTTGTATGCGGGTTCCATGATAATCATGCAAAGGCGTAATTTGTATGACTGCATGGGATATAACGTGGCAGGCACACAATACGCTACGAAGCCAAATGAGTCTATCGAAGGGCCGATCTGTCACTCAACTTGAGCAAGATGACAGGGGCTGCCTGGCAAAGCAAGCATCTAGACTCTCTAGACAAATCATGCGCCACGTTTGATGGCACCTTCAAAGTTAACACACATTGGCTAACAAACAACACACCCCATCGTTCGCATCAAGCAAAGCACATCTGACATCCGTCCAAACGAGCAGGGAACATGAGTCGGTAGCTTCTGTTTGTGCGGTTCTCCTCTTGAGAATGATCTCTTTGTGTTTCTGCAGAACAGCCGAAACGTGGTCCCGAACGGGTCCTGACCAAAAGTGTTGCTTGCCAAGAGGCTCCACTATATGCAGTGCATGGATACATGTATTGTTGTCTGTCTGTGTCTGTCTGTCTCTCTGTCTGCCTGCCGGCGTGGCATATGTCTGCCTGACATACATACAATTTGTAATATGTTTAGACATACTGTATACACATGCTATTATGGGCCTGTCGAACATTAGGGAACCTCCTTTCTATATATATATATGTATATATGTATTGAAGATAAAAGGACACCAACCATTTGTGCGGTCCCTCGATTCCAGCTTCTACATAGATTGATTGTTTTTGTTTACTGAGTTGGGGCCAGCGCGGTGCAGCGTTGCACGCCCCATCCGTAGCGGAAATGACTCCTCTCCAAGGAATATGTACCAGGGTATGGCATATGAGTGTGAATTTGAAGTAGATATACAAACCACTAGCTCTAAGTGAGGCCTTCTTGTATACTACGTTTGGTGGTATGACTCCTTTTGACTACCCCCCCATTTGCTTCAGTCCCTGGAAACAAGCACAATAGATTCCCTTTTAACAAGAGAAAAGCATAACTGCTTTACTCAGCAATCTCAAATAGGGAGGAAATCCATATTTTGTTGTTGGTCGTCCTTTTGGTTTCCCTTAGCAACCCAAAAATCGTTGGTGCCCTCAAAAGAAGCCGAGCCACCCAAATGTAAGATCTACTTGCTACGAATTCCCTGCACCGCAACAGTTCTCCACCCACGCCCCGATGTTGCACCTCCTCTGGCTCCAAAGTGATGTTGGCCTTCGCACAAAAAGGGCCATCCCGAGTATGGGTCAGGGGCCTGGACCCGAAAGAGAACATGTCTTCAAAGCGGCCAATCTTGATGGGTAGTTTGCGGGTCCAGGGGTGTCCTCTTTCACGTTAGACCCCTCCAAAACATGCAGAGTTGCTTTCCCTTGAAACCGCTTCCCCGCCCCAAAACCAAAAAACACAAACAAACAAACTCGTACCACCGAAAACAGACCCGAGGCATAGAGAATCCGTCCCGAAAGATTCTCCTTCAGGCTCTGATCCAAATGGAGCGCTCTAAGAAAAACAAAGCTTTGGCAACTCAAACCATGGGTTCCCATGGTTTCAAATTAGACCGAAAGGATTTGGCAACCGTCCACAGTATCACCTCCTCCTAAATGGATCATGTGGGTTCCACTTGGCTCGTTCCACCGGAGCTTCCGGCCCTTTTCGAGGGGGATTTGCAGCGGCTCAGATCTAAGCGTGGGCTTGGGCTCGCATGGACTCTTTAGGAAGCCATCCAGCTGCGAAATGGAAATTCGCCCCACAGTTCACCTTAAAACAACTTTCATTCGAAAGGAAGCTCACGTTCAATTCGGAAGCTGTGTTGTTGAACCCAAACCCGCTTTTTCAACCCTCCCCTGTTTTTCAAGCCTTCTTGACCAGGTGATGTTTCTTATTATTATTATTATTATTAGAAAGGGTATACGCAACCCTGAGGGACCACCGACACTTCCAGGTTGGTTTCAACTATAGGGAACCCCAAATGGGTCAGGTTTTGTGCTCGGCGTCCCTTCAAAGTCAAAACGAGATGCCCTAACAGAAACACGCCCATCTTCTTACCTTGTTTTTTTTTCGCACCCGTGCCGTTTGGGAACCCACCTGTCGCCAAAACCAGTCCGCTTGAGTCGATCTGTGATTGGATGTCCTTGAGGGGGAACATTTTGAGAACAACTCGCTTCCCATCATGCATTGGCCACAAGTTGAAAATAAAAATAACACTGAATGAACGCCACACAAGTGGGCTGCCCGTTTTCAGATCCAATGCTAAACAAAGTTTAACTTTTAGTGGGTTACTGTAAATACAAAAAAAACAATAAAAACTAGATCACACAAAACTAAAAACATAGGGGGTGGCTGGGAACCACCGAATAAAATGGAAACCAACCGGAAAGTGACTCTGAAGTCCAGAAAAATATGGAGGTAAGACACAGAGCGCAAACTTCTGGAATTTCATGTTGACCTGCAGCATCGATGTCCTTGCTCAGCGTTGGTTGATACTCGATCTGGGCAAAAGGGCAAATGACCATTCACCAACCAGAAAGGAATTGCGAAGACTCCCCCCCCCCAAAAAAAAAAAACAAAGAAAGGGGCCCTTCCTGGGTGGTCAACCTACCCATCCCTAAACCCACCCCAGCCTAAACCTACCAACCCAGAGCCCCGCGCCTCAAAGTCGCCATCCAACACAGCCTCACGAGCAAAGAGCCCCGAACGCCTCCAACCACCAAGGGCTCAGCTTTCGTGGCTTGCCGAATCGCTTTGGTGCTGAAACCGGGGCGGTCCACGCCAAGATCACCTGAAAGGCCGGCCCAAATCCAACACAAAACACCAAAGGCCCACCAAGCCACCCCCGGCCTTTAATGGCGGACATGGTTGAAACCCCAATGCAGCATTTTTTTACTTGAAGTCGACTCCAGGTTTTCAACAAATGCTGCTTGAAGAACGTGCGCGTGATAAAGCACCTCACTCCCGATCGAGTGGATTGGCCAAACAAGTCCGAGCTTTTTGTTTGCCCTGAGACTTGGTTGATTGCGACCCCTCTGCAAAAAGTGCTCCTTTGTTTGCTGGGTCCAATGGAAACAACAACCTGTTTCAATCAAATAAAATGTTTAGTCTAAAGATCCAACCAAATTGCACTGAGTCCCTTACCCTCCAACTACCCGGGTGTTGATTGTGACTGACATGTTGTTTGCCACTCAAATGGCAACCAATCCATTAAAAAACGCTTCAAGGTCCGAAACGGAGCTCGAGGGAGGCAACCTCTCGCTCTCCCAGCATAGATGGGCTTGAGGCCAAACACGACACCCGAACCCAATCACTTCTCAAAACAAGCCCTGAAATAGGTATCTCAAAAAAGAAAATCACCCCCCTTCCCTCATTTGACGCTAAAATGGGTACCTCCAAAAGACGCCCATTCTAGCAAAGGGCAAACGTGCTTCTGATACTATGACCGTATCGCTTGTGCCTCCAAAAAAAAAACATCGGCGTTGACTACTTGAAGCAGGGCACGCATTTTTGTTGCCCAATCGGCTTGAACAGGGGTCACTGGATTGCCCCTTCAAAAGCTGCAGCTGACTGGTGTCCACTGAAATTGTCGCTTTTGAAGGTCCAAAAAGAGGAAATGGAGGGATCCGTGTGGAACCGGTGGTGATGTTGCCCCAATGCTGCATCGCTTTCTGAAACTTGAGGTTTGTGATCGCATCTCCATGAGGTAGCTCGCCCCACTTCTTGACGTGCTCGCTGTCTTTGATAGCGTGCGTCAGGTCGCCGTCGATACGCTGCAGGCCAGTGGGAAATGACCGCTTCTGTGATACAACAGAAAAGGCTTCCGGAGGGCATCTTTAGACGCAATCATAAGACTTGGCCAATCAGTGAACACAATTTGGGTGTGGCTCAAAATTAACCAGGAGGAGCAAACCGCAGGTTTTGGTAACCATGCTTCCACTTACCAGGGCAACCCATTTTGGAATTCCGTTTTTTTGAGCCAGCCATTTGGCTTGAGCGTGGGAGGCTTTTGTGATTTTGCTTGCCGAACGTGGGATCTGCAGGCTCTGTTCACTGGACTTTGTAGAAATGGCTAACATTTCTGCAATCAATTAGAATTCTATTAGACTAGTCCCACTCAAGTCCAGTCGCCTGAAGATTGGCATCAAACGAACAATAAATAAAATGCCCCGTTTGCTGCTTTGTTTCCATGTTCCAGCCGGCAGGGGCACGAGAGCGAGCGCCTCGCAGATCCAAATTGAGAACCTTCTTCCAAAAGTTGGGAGGCGCGCTGAGCGCTTCTTGTGAGGCCCATCCAAAGCACAAAGCGAAAGGCCCAGTGCTTCCATGTACCTCACCATGGGCTTGCCGAAACCCCTTCAGGCAACCACATGGATGGATCGGCAGGTGGCTTGGGCTTGCCGGGGCGAGGTGGCCCGGGGGACAGGGATTCCAGGCGCCAGGAGTCAACTCGAGTAGGGGCACCTTCCATTTGGCCGTGGGCAACCACCAAACCGGAAATGTCCAAAATGGGTGGCCCGATCGGGAAGTGGAAGCATGGGTACCCCAAAACCTGCGGTTTGCCCCTCCGATCGTTTGATTGTGAGCCACACCCATGTCCATT